AGTCCTGTGCAGATCATGGGTGGGAGGCCCATCTGGCAGGATTTTGACAATCCTGATCAGATTATACAGGCTGATTAAACCATTAGCCATTGGTAACCATTGGTAGCCATTAAACCATTCAGCCTCCAGCTCCTCTCCGCTCCCTAAAAGTTGGAAGGTGGAGTTGCAAGTTCCAACCCTTTAATCCTGTGGTTAGTTCCGCTGGCACCTAGCCCTCATTCATTGGTTATCCAAGGGCTTTCCAAACTCTCTTCATTAACTGACTCAGGTGTGGTTGAAAGAGGTTTGTTATGCATAATGGAAGACATCATTTCACCCAGAGTTTTTTACGAACTAGGAACAAAAACTCAGTATAACTCCTGTTTAGCTCCTGTCATTTAGGAAATAAGGGTTTTAGGAGCCTGATGCCAGGAACCATGGATGAAGACCAGTGTTTACATCTGTTACTCTATCACAGCATCACAGGACCCTGCGATCTCCTCCTGCTCTCTCAGCCTCTCGTGCCTGTGCCCTATCCCTGTGGGGTGGGGTGGGGACTCCCCTCTGTGCCTCCTCTCTTGTGTGGTCACCCTGAGACTGGCTGGGCTGGAAGTGCGTGTGTCTCTTCCCCTCTGTGAGCCTGGTCCACACCCCCAGTGGACACCAGGCAAGAGTTGTGGATGGATGTTTGTGTCCGAATTGAGCTCATCTCAGACCCCTGAGGATTAGGGGTACCATGACCAGTCTTAAGAAACAATAGTATTTGTCACACAGTTGCTGATAAGAGCATCTCCTGTGTAAGGTTCAGGGGGTCAGCACAGCAGGCCTGTGGGCCAAACTCAGCCTACCCATTTTCTGTCTTCTTTGGCTGCTTTCATGCAGAGTTAAGGCATTTCCATAGAGACCCTGTGACCCACAAAGTCCCAAATATTTACTGACCAGCCCAAAAAGGAACAAAGCTTGCCAGGCCCTGCCCTGCACAATTCGTTGCCCTTATAAAAGAGCTACATAAGGAATTTGTCTAGATCTAACAAATGCCAGTGGCTTCACCTGGGAGATTGCCTTACTTTTTCCATATGAAAGATGCAAATCCAGTGATGGATCCTGTCTTCCTTTGTGCTTTGCCTTCTAACAAGCCACCCTTCATACTTAATAATTACCTGGCCTTTCTCGCCCAATCCTAATGTGCTTCACGTTGTGTTTTTTTATTTTATTTTTCTGTGTTCTGACTACTGTTGCGCTCAGCTCAGAGAAACAAATATCTAGAAAGCTTGTTTCATTTTCCCACTGTCCGCTGGGGTAGCCCAGCACACAGCACACATCTTCCAGAAAACACACCCTTGCTGTTTCTTTAGTCCTGACGGAATATTTTGGGAGTCTTTAAATACAAACCCAGACCATTATGACAATTTCTCCTTTACTTTTTTTTCCCCCCATATTGCTAGCAGGATGTTTTTCTTTTCTTCAAGAAAATTAGAGATACCAAGGGAACATTTCATGCCAAAATGGACTCAATAAAGGACAGAAATGGTATGGACCTACCAGAAGCAGAAGATATTAAGAAGAGGTGGCAAGAATACACAGAAGAACTGTACAAAAAAGATCTTCACGACCCAGATAATCACAATGGTGCGATCACTCACCTAGAGCCAGACATCCTGGAATGTCAAGTCAAGTGGGCCTTAGAAAGCATCATGACAAACAAAGCTAGTGGAGGTGATGGAATTCCAGTTGAGCTATTTCAAATCCTGAAAGATGATGCTGTGAAAGTGCTGCACTCAATATGCCAGCAAATTTGGAAAACTCAGCAGTAGTCACAGGACTGGAAAAGGTCAGTTTTCATTCCAATCCCGAAGAAAGGCAGTGCCAAAGAATGCTCAAACTACCGCACAATTGTGCTCATCTCACAGGCTAGTAAGGTAATGCTCAAAATTCTCCAAGTCAGGCTTCAGCAATAGGTGAACCGAGAACTTCCAGATGTTCAAGCTGGTTTTAGAAAAGGGAGAGGAACCAGAGATCAAGTTGCCAATATCCGTTGGATCATCGAAAAAGCAAGAGAGTTGCAGAAAAACATCTATTTCTGCTTTATTGACTATGCCAAAACCTTTGACTGTGTGGATCACAATAAACTGTGGAAAATTCTGAAGGAGATGGGAATACCAGACCACCTGAGAAACCTGCCTCTTGAGAAACCTGTATGCAGGACAGGAAGCAACAGTTAGAACTGGACATGGAACAACAGACTGGTTCCAGATAGGACAAGGAGTATGTCAAGGCCGTATGTTGTCACCCTGCTTATTTAACTTATATGCAGAGTACATCATGAGAAGTGCTGGGCTGGAAGAAGCACAAGCTGGAATCAAGATTGCCAGGAGAAATATCAATAACCTCAGATATGCAGATGACACCACCCTTATGGCAGAAAGTGTAGGTGAACTAAAGAGCCTCTTGATGAAAGTGAAAGAGGAGAGTGAAAAAGTTAGCTTAAAGCTTAACATTCAGAAAACTAAGATCTTGGCATCTGGTCCCATCACCTCATGGGAAATAGATGGGGAGACAGTAGAAACAGTGTCAGACTATTTTTTTGGGCTCCAAAATCACTGCAGATGGTGACTGCAGCCATGAGATTAAAAGATGCTTACTCCTTGGAAGGAAAGTTATGACCAACCTAGATAGGATATTAAAAAGCAGAGACATTATTTTGCCAACAAAGGTCCATCTGGTCAAGGCTATGGTTTTTCCAGTGGTCATGTATAGATGTGAGAGTTGCACTGTGAAGAAAGCTGAGCACTGTAAAATTGATGCTTTTGAACTATGGTGTTGGAGAAGACTCTTGAGAGCCCCTTGGACTGCACGGAGATCCAACCAGTCCATCCTAAAGAAAATCAATCCTGGGTGTTCATTGGAAGGACTGATGCTGAAGCTGAAACTCCAATACTTTGGCCACCTTATGCCAAAGAGTTGACTCGTTTGAAAAGACCCTGATGCTGGGAGGGATTGGGGGCAGGAGGAGAAGGGGACGACAGAGGATGAGATGGCTGGATGGCATCACCAACTCGAAGGGCATGAGTTTAAGTAAACTCCGGGAGTTTGTGATGGACAGGGAGACCTGGCCTGCTGCGATTCGTGGGGTCACAAAGAGTCAGACACGACTGAGCGACTGAACTGAACCAGGATGTTATAATTTTGATTACAATAGATAATTTTTTGGTGGGGTGTGTATGGACTTGTCTTTGGGTTTTTTGTTGTCTTCCTCTAGAGTTTTATGTGTTGTACTACTAGTGATCACCTTTCACAGGGCAAAGGGTTCACAACTCATAAACTAAGCAAGACTTGGGCTGTCTGAGGACACAGGGCTGTCTGCTTCCACAGTGCTGGTGGCAGCAACTCTGCAGGTGTCTGAGTTGAGGTCCCTCAAAGAATTCCATCACAATAAACCTGATGCCATCAAAGCCTTGTACAGCATGAAAATTTTGTCCATTTCTTACCTCCACTGAATTTTGGAAAGTAAGGGTTCGTGGTAGAACTGTTGTTGGTTTTTGTTAGTAATTTCAGGAGTGAAATGAACTTCATGTCTCTAAAAAAAAGTAGTGTTCTTTCTGGTTCAGGGAGTGTTTACTGGCAATGTAATGCTTAAAAACAACAAAAAAAACCGACCCTCAGATTCTCTTGTTCTTGTTTCTGAGTTTGCCTGTGGATATTTGCTTTACTTTGACCAAGGGAGACCAGTATTAATGCTGCTGGTACCTCTCAGGGGAGGGTCTACATGGAACCTTCACAACCCGCAGGGTGTCTTCACAGGCCCCTGAAATCCTGTTCCTGTTAGCAATCTCCCTCTGTCCAGGAGGAATTCTGTGAATGTGTATTGACCCTGTGGGTTGAGATGGCTTGGGACCGTATGTCTTTTCATCTTAAAAGAAGACCCACTTAAAATGAATCAGACATTTCAGATACTTTGGGGACAATGATACACAAAAGTTACTGCCAGATGCCTGTCTCAGACCCCACCTGACCTTCCTGGAAAAGCCCTCTCAGAGCCAGGCATCACTCACATTCCACCCTCTGTCCCAGAAGATGCTCATGGCACCTGGGCCAGCCTGCATCCCTCTGGGCCTGCTGCATAGCTGGTGGGGCCTGACCCACGGCCTCAGACTCACTGCATAAGTCAACCAGGGAGATAACACTCCCACTCCATCCCCACTGCACGCCCCCACAAGCGGTTTTGCACGTGAAAATCTACCCCATCTCCGCCGGTGCTGGGACCAGGATAGTCATGGAGGTGCCCGGGTGGGGAGCAGCTCTCGGCGGCCCTGCCCCATGTGTGGGCATCCTCAGTGGACATGGGAAACAAGAGATCTCCAGACACTTGTTGGAAATTTGACAAAGTGGTTTTATGCTGTTGAATCTAACAATTAAAAAAATTGGAGTGATGTATTATGTATTTTTTCCCATTTTTTTTTCTAGCACTTTGTTGTGTTTTTAAAAACATGTCTGTGCACAATGGACTGGACCCAAGAGCAGAGGAGCATGCTCCTGGGTGGTGGATCTCCAGAGCTTCATTCCAGCTCCAGGAGTAGAGCATAGGGGTGGGAAGGGGCACTGGCTCTCCGAAGCCATGTGGGGCGGGCCGGAGCAGCCTTGGGTTTTTATTTGCAAAATAGAGAGCACTTCATGAAACTGTTTTAAAACACCTAGCCCTTGTAAGTGAGCAAGCAACACTCCCTGTCTTTCCTTCTCTTCCCTCTGTGATCCTGTACTTCCTGTGTGTTCCGTCTGCTGCAGGGTGAGGAGAGGGTAGAAAGAGCCTTTGAAGTCTGGGCCTGTGTGCCTTGGCCCTGTTGGGCCCTAGGGGAGCTGCCTTTGGCTCTCCAGAATCCAGGGTGTGACCAGACAGCTGGTAACTAATCAGATCATCCTCCTGCTTTGGTGGCAGCAGGCACTTAGGTAGGGACCTGCGGTGGGCATTGTGGAGCACAGGTTTCCTAGCAGTGAACCCAATGCCTGCCTTCTCTTTGCTGCAGTTGCTGACATGATGCCCCCACCCTTGGAGCAGGACCTGAATGCCCTACTGGCTCACAAGGAGGAGGAGTGGCGAGCGCTGCAGGCCCAGCGCACCCAGATGCAGGAGGCGACCCTGCAGGACACACAGCGCCGACTGGAGGAGGCTCAGGGGAAGCTGCGGCGCCTGCGGGAGGACTTCATCTACAACCTGCAGGTGCTGGAAGAGCGGGACCGGGAGCTGGAGCTCTACGACGCCGCGTTCGCCCAGGCCCGAGGGCTGGAGGAGGCCAGGCAGGCTGAGGTGAGCGAGCTCAAGATCGAAGTGGCCAAGCTGAAGCAAGCGCTGGCCAGCGAGACCCGACGGCTGGAGGACCTGCAGCGGCAGTACCAGCAGAGGCTGCAGGAACACCGCCTGGAGCTGGAGCGGGTCCACAGGTGAGGGCCAGCGGACCCCACGCCCCTGCCCTCCACGGGCCTCCTTCCCCATAGGGCTGCTGGGCTCCCACTTGCTCAGTGTTTGTCACAGGAAGGCAGGCACAGCCATACCTGGATGTTTTTTCCTGGGTCCCACCCAGTGCAGCTGAAATTAGTGGAGACTGGTTTAACTATTTGAAATTTTCTCCATGAGTTGCAAATCTGAATTATTGTAATAAAACATATTTGAGCTTATAATTATAGTAAGTCCTCTACATATGAATGATGTTCTGTTCTGAGGGTCTGTTTGTAAGTCCAACAAAGTTAGTCCAGGTACAGCTGGTAACTAGTCAGAGCATGCTCCTGCCTTGGTGGCAGCAGGCACTTAGGTGGGCATCTGAGGTGGGCATAGTAGTAGTACTACTGTACTGTAATTGGTTTATAGTACTTTTCACACAAATAATATATAAAAAACAAAAAATAAAACATTAAAAAAAATTTTATTGTAGTATAGTTGTTTTTCAGTGTTGTTAGTTTCTACTGTACCACAAAGTGAATATGTGTGTGTGTGTGTATGTGTATATATTTTTTTAAATTTCCTTCTCATTTAGGTTACTACAGACCTCTGAGTAGGGTTCCCTGTGCTATACAGTAGGCTCTCATTAGATATCTTATACATAGTATCAATAGTGTATATACAGTCAATCCCAATCTCCCAATTTGCCCTGCTCCCTCTGTTTTCCCCCTTGGCATTCATATGTTTGTTCTCTATGTCTGTATCTCTATTTCAGCTTTGCAAATAAATCATTTTTACCATTTTTCTAGATTCCACATGTAATGTTAATGTATGTTACTTGCTTTTCTGTTTCTGACTTATTTCACTCTCTGTTACAGTCTCTAGGTCCATCCATGTCTCTACAAATGACCCAATGTCCTTCATTTTTATGGCTGAGTAAATTACACTGTATATATGTACCACTTCTTTATCTGTTTCTCTGGCATTTTTTTGCTTGGTTGGTTTTTTGTCATTTTTAAAAATTTTTTACTTTTTAGCTGCACCATCCAGCATTGTGGAATTTTAGTTCCACAATTAGAGATTGAACCCGCACCCCTTGCATTGGAAGCATAGAGTCTTCATCACTGGACCACCAGCGAATTCCCTACCTCTTCCTCTGTTGATGTACATTTAGGTTGCTTCTGTGTCCTGACTATTGTAAATAGTATTGCAATGAACATTGGGGTGCGTGTGTCTTTTTGAATTATGTTTTTCTCTGGGTATATGCCCAGTAGTGAGATTGCTGGGTCATATAGTAGTTCTATTTTTAGTTTCTTAAGGAATCTCCATACTGTTCTTCATAGTGGCTATATTAATTTACATTTCCACCAACAGTGCAGGAGGGTTCCCTTTTCTTTATACCCTCTCCAGTATTTATTGTCATGGATTTTTGATGATGGCCTTCTGACCACTGTGAGGTGATACCTCATCATAGTTTTGATTTGCATTTTTCTAATAATTAGTGATTTTTTAACATCTTTTCTTCATGCGTTTATTGGTCACTTGTGTGTCTTCTTTGGAGAAATGCCTATTTAAGTCTTCTGCTATTTATTTTTTATTTTTGAGCTGCATGAACTATTTGTATATGTTGGAGATTAATATTTTGTCAGTTCCTTTGTTTGACAATACTGTCTCCCATTCTGAGGGTTGTCTTTTCATCTTGTTTATGGTTTCTCTTGCCACTATTATTCAAAATAATTTTGAAAGTCCTAGCCATGGCAATCAGAGAAGAAAAAGAAATAAAAGGAATCCAAATTGGAAAAAAAGAAATAAAACGGTCATTGTCTGCAGATGACATGATACTCTACATAGTAGTAGGAGTAGTAGTAGTTTAGTCGCTAAATCGTGTCCGACTCTTGCGATCCCATAGACTGTAACCCGCCAGGCTCCTCAGTCCATGGGAGTCTCCAGGCAAGAATACTGGAGTGGATTGCCATTTCCTTCTCCAGGGGATCTTCCCAACCCAGGAATTGAACCCGGGTCTCCTGCACTGCAGGCAGATTCTTAACCAACTGAGCTACGAGGGAAGCGCAGTACTCTACATAGAAAATCCTAAAGATGCCACCAGGAAACTACTAATAGTTAATCAATGAATTTAATAAAGTTGCAAAATACAAAATTAATACTCGTAATCCTTTGCATTCCTATACACTAGCAACAAAAGATCACAAAGAGAAATCAAGGAAATAATCCCATTTACTGTTGCAACAAAAAGAAGAAAATATCGAGGAATAGACCTACCTAAGGAGGCAAAAGACCTATATGTACTAAACTATAAGATACTGATTAAAGAATTCAAAGATGACACAAACAGATGGAGAGATATACCATGTTCTTGGATTGAAAGAGTCAATATTATGAAAATGACTATACCACCCAAAGCTATCTACAGATTCAATGCAATCCCTGTAAAATTACCAATGGCATTTTCCACAGAACTAGAATGGCAACAACAACAACAACAAAAATGACAATTTGTATAGAAGCATAAAAGGCCTGGATAGCCAAAGCAGACTTGAGAAAGAGAAATAGAGCTGAAAGAATCTAAGCTGTCTGACTTTAGACTGTACTACAAAGCTCCAATAATCAAGAATCTATGGTAGTAGCACAAAAACAGAAATATAGAACTGTGGAGTAGGATCAAAAGGCCAGAAATAAACCCATGCACCTATGGTCACCTAACCTATGACAAAGGAGTCAAGATTTTTGATGGTGGCCATTCTGACCATTGTGAGGTGATACCTCATTATAGTTTTCATATGCATTTTTCTGATAATTAGTGATTTTGAGCATCTTTTCATATGTTGGTCCATATACAATGGAGAAAAGATAGCCTCTTCAATAAGCAGTGCTGGGAAAACTGGACAGCTACATGTAAAAGAATGAAATTAAAACACTCCCTAATACCATACACAAAAATAAACTGAAAATGGATTAAAGACCTAAATATAAGGCCAGACACTGTAAAACTTACAGGAAACATAGGCAGAACACTCTGACATAAATTGCCACAATCTCTTTTAAAAAAATATTTATGTATTTAATTTTGTCTGAGCTGGGTCTTCTTTTCTGTGAGGGCCTTTCTCTAGTTGTGGTGAGCAGGAGCTATTCTCTAGTTGTGGTACTCAGGCTTCTCATTCTGGTAGCTTCTCTTGTTGAAGAGTGTGAGATCTTAGACCCAAGGGCTTCAATACAGTTGCAGCTCTCAGGCCTAGAGCATAGGCTCAATAGTTGTGGCGCACAGGCACACATGCTTTGAGGCATGTGGGATCGTAGTTCCCTTACCAGGGATTGAACCCATGTCTCCTGCATTGCAAGACAGATTCTTAACCACTGGATCATCAGGGAAGTCCCAGAAAACCTTTTTAATCTTACAGTACAGTACCAGCCACATCACCACCACTGCTTTTATGCTTGCTTCTGGACATCCTGGGGTTGAAATAAAGATACTGTACTCTATACAGTACTGTAAAGTGCCCAAAAGCACAACCACATGTAGAGGATGCACGCACATGACAGTGTACGCCAGTCACATGAACTAGCTTATGTGATTGGACTTGCAAACACATGTTCTCATCTTGGAAATTTCGCCTCTAGAAGGTTCATATGTAGGGGACTTATTGTTTTAATGATGTGAAATATATATTAAATCTGATACTAAGAGCTGACTTGAGGCAGGTCAACTGAGACCCTGAAGCTGTTGTCAGGCCTGTGGGCTCCACTCACGATGAGAAGGACAGGCCTCAGCTGCATGCTTTGCTGCAGCCTTGATGTGCTTTATATTGTTTTGTGAAGTGTCTCCCCAGGACTCTGCTCATTCTTTTTCACCAAATTTGGGACATTTTCAACATTATTTCTTCAAGTACATTGTTGGCTCCACCCTCTTTTTCCTTCCACTCTGGGACTGCAGTGAGGACAATGTGAATGCTACATCTTTTGTTATCATCCCACGGGTCTCTGAGGCTCCGCTTATTTTTTTCAGCATATTTCTTTCTGTTATCAGGTCAGGTAACTTTTGTCATTCTCTGGTTCTTTTCTATAACGTGTTCATTCTGCCTTTGAGCCCAACTAGAGTGTCCTTCGTTTTGGTTATTGTACTTCTTAGTTCTCAAGTTTCCATTTGATTCTTTGTTATATTTTCTTTTTCTTTTCTGAGAGTTTCTATTTTCCATTTGTCCCAAGGCTGTGTGAAATTGCTTGTCAGAGCATTTTTATGATGGCTGCTTTAAAATCCTTGTTAGATCATATCAGCATCTGTGTCATCTTGGTGTTAGCATCTATGGATTGTGAGTTCTCATTCAAGTGGAGAGTTCCTGGTTGTTGGTAGGACCAGTGACTTTTGTGTTTCTTTTTTCTTTTTTGGCCACACTGCTCGGCATTCCCCAAACAAGGAATAAAGACCTGTGCCCCCTACAGTGGAAGCAGAGTCCTAATCGCTGGACTGCCAGGGAAGTCCTGGTATGACCAGTGACTTTTGACTGTATCCTGGGCACTTGTGGGATTGTCCTGAGAGCCTGTCCCACATCATGTTCTCCTCTGCAGATAGTCACCTGTCCGGGTATAGCATGCGGGTCCCCTGGATCCTGCCAAAGCCACTCCTGCAAAGAAGCAGCATTACCTGTCACCTCACATTTGCAGAGGAGACCCTGCAAATGTATAGTTTGGAGACTATTCAGTGTGACTTTTCTTAACACTGAGCTTTTTTTTTTTTTCTAACATAGTGACAGGAACAATGAGCTGGATCAGCAGCGGGAGCAGTATGGGAACCTGAAGTGGAAGCTGGAGAGGAGACTCAAGGAGCTGGACGGTGAACTTGGCCTGCAGCGGCAGGTAGGGTGAGGGATCCGCTTCTTCCTCAAGACCGTTGTTTTGTTGGTCGTATAGTATCAACCTGGGATCACAGGTTTCCACTTTGTGGTGATCTGTGGCGAAATGTGTCAGGGTATCTAAATCTTCCTCTGTGGTAACGCCCCCAAAATTCTCCTTCCTTGGAAATGAATAAACATTTTGTCCTCTATTTATTTAAGAAAGAAGTATTATGAAGTTAGAGTTCTTTACTGTGGAAGAGAGCTGGGAACTCAAATTGTGATAATTGTATTTCTTTCAACAAGCAATAAATGACACTAAGTTTAAATATAGCCGTGTCAACTGACAGGAGACACTTAAACCTGTCTCCGAAATTTCTCCTCGGTATCCCTGAAGCTCAGCCTCCACATCTGAGAGAGACTTTGCTATGTTGGAGTTTGGGTGAAGGACATCCTTCACACTTAGGGCTGAAGTCCATGTCTGGCAGGGCTGCGTGTGTGCACAACATGGGTCCCCTTGTTCTCCTTCTAGGATGTACCGAGCTTGTGTTGTCGTAGCAGCAGCTGGTGTTTATGGAAACCACCTCATGTAGCTCCTTGTGCGTGTGTGAACTTATCTGCTCAATACAACAGAGACACCATTTTGTTCTGCATTTTCCAAGTAGGGAACTGAGGTCAAGACATTAAGTAACCTGCCCAAGATCCCCCTCAGTAAATCGAGGAGCCGTAATTTGAGTCCAGGACACTTCCAGCGTGTGAACTCTTAGGCACTGTCCTTCTGTCATAGGTTAGCGACTCACGACTTATTTTTAGACTTGTGTCCGCGATATTGGAGAGGAGCTGGATCTGGAAGTCAGCCTAGCTGTGTCCCCACTTCTGCCCTCCTTGTAATGATAGTGACTGAGTGATCTGAAGTGATCTGACCTTGGCCCCTGGTCTCCCAGTGGATGTGCCATGGGGCGGATATGAACTTTGTGCCTGCCTGTGCTGGCCTGTCCTTTCTTGGCACTGGGGTCAGCAGTTCTCAAGGAGGACAGACTGGTCAGCTGGTAGACTGAGGCCTGAGTGTCAGCCCTCCATCCCATAGCATGGCGTCGGTGCCCTGAGATAGGACAGCATCCTGGTGGGCTGTGCCCACCGGAATGGAAGACACCTGTAGACGCAACTGTTCTTAAGACTGAGCTTTCAGGCCCAGCTGCATCTACTAACCACCGCTGGCACAGGAGGAGGCCCTGTCCTTTCCTTCCCCTCTGGAAGCTCGAATTTCACTGTCCACAATGATGCCACGACTCAAAACAGTCTGTAGAGCTTTTGACATTTCCTGCAGAGGACTTTCTTTTGGAGTCCTTGGGGACCAAAGAACTTTGTCTCTTATGGGCGGGTTCGACTTTAGGAAAACATCCGAGGTCACTGGGGGCTAAGCTGGGTGATCAGGAGACCAGCTGTAACTCATCTAGGTCATGAGGTGTCCTCAGGTGGTGTCGGAGTCTCTTCCAGAGAAGGAATTTCAAAAGGGCACTGGGTGGTGGTGGAATCGTCCCTGTTAGCAGGGCAGTCAGTGGCACGTGGAGGCAGCGGTGGCCCTGGTGGGTGTTATGGTCACTGGGCTAGGTCTCTGGGTGACTTCCCAGCTTGTCCACACTCAAAGAAGTCCTTACTGTGACTCAGGCTCGTTCAGGCTTTGAGCCCCCTTGTCCACAAGGAAGGCCCCTTCAGATGTGGGTTTTCATACCAGCCCTGTCTCTTGCAGGAAGGAAACTTGACGTCTGGACTCTCCAACTATAGGCTCTGTCCAGGGCTGCTGCTGGAAACCTGGCCAGCCTTTGCTGCCTAGTGTGGTTCGGGTCCAGCTGGGGCCCATGCCAGCCTTGGGGCTCTACTGCCCGTGCCCAACCCTTGACTGAAGGACGGGTATTATGTGCTCATTGGCTTTGTGGCTTCCTTTGGGCTGGTTTCTGTCTCCTTTTTCTGAAGATCTTTGTGCTCATTACTGACTTGTCAAAGGTAGAATTGATTCAATGGTAATGTTGATTATTACTTTGAAGAAAGAAATGTAAGACGACAGGAGCTGAGTTAGTCTGTTTAATGTTTATTATGTCTGCAAGTTGTAGACTGTGGACTTGTTTTTTCATTATTGGTTAGCAGTCCCAGGATTAGAAGCCTCTAGAGGAGAAACAATGATTTATTTATTTATTGTTCATTCATTTAAAACAAAGAGATTTCACCAGGCACGTTCCTGGGCCCTCGGGTTAGGGCTAAGCACTAGCCCCACCTGCCCTGGGAGTCAGCTGGCCCTCGTTGGGGGTGCAGTGAACACTTGAACAGTACAGTCTCTGGCTATAGCATCCTGGGGACATCACCTGTGTGACACAGGGAGGCAGGGTGAGGTGGAACTAGTCTTTTAATAGGCAAGTCAGGGCACCCTGAGAAGAGGACTTGTGAGCCCAAGTCTGCAGGTAGCAACAGAGTTCAAGTTCAAGGAGGCTGAGGTGAGGGCTGTGAAGCCTCCCAGGCCTTCGTGAGAATGACCTTTGCTCCAGGTGAGGTGAGAAACTCTTGGGGGCTTGTGAGCCAAGTCAAATCTTTAAAAGAGCCTCTTCTGTGGGGTTGAGGACAGACTGTGGAGCGGGGGAGGCAGGGAGACACAAGAGGGCTGCTGCAGCCCTAGGTGAAGGGTGGGGGACTTGAGCCACTGACAGGTTCTGGATACACCCAAGACAGCAGAGCCAACCAGCAGGCTGATAGATCAGATGGGGTGAGAGGCAGGCACCAAGGACATGCTTGCTTTGGGGTTGAGTGCCTGGTAGGACAACTTGCCATGTATTGAGATGGGGGAACTGCACAGGAAGGATGGGGAGGGCGCTTGGTCGGGCTGTGTACAAGGAGGTGGCTTCTGGGCTCCCAGGAAGACACTCTGGGAGGTCAGGGCGGAAGGGGGGGCGGTCCCAAGGTACAGAGCTGGAAGTCTGGGGCTTCCCCAGAGGGTGGCTGTAGACAGAGGAGCCAGCTGTCCAGGCTGAACCTTGAATTCTAGAACAGGGAAGTTTAGGGGATATCATCACAGGGCAGGGGTGTGGCTTGGGGACTAGCAGGAGAGGGGCCCCCAGGAGCAAGAGAGGAGGGTGGTCAGAAGGCAGGCCTGAGCCCTGTACCTCTAGGGTGAAGTGGGGACAGGGAGTGCAATGGGCTTCTTGTTTCGTCACCAAGGACCCTAAATGCTTACCTACTGGTCTGGGCCAGGCTCTGCCTCTGCGCTGGCTTCCTGCCCCCTGGTGGCCACAGCCTGCACAACTTTGAGCAGAAACCAAAGGCTTCAGTATTTTGTCATGTTAGCAGTCAGAGTAATGCTCAAAATTCTCCAAGCCAGGCTTCAACAGGACATGAACCGTGAACTTCCAGATGTTCAAGCTGGATTTAGAAAAGGCAGAGGAACCAGAGATCAAATTGCCAACATCCGTTGGATCATCGAAAAAGAAAGAGAGCTCCAGAAAAACATCTGCTTTATTGACTACGCCAACGCGTTTGATTTTATGGATCACAACAAACTGTGGAAAATTCTTAAAGAGATGGGAATACCAGACCACCTTACCTGCCTCCTGAGAAGTCTGTATGCAGGTCAAGAAGCAACAGTTAGAACTGGACATGAAACAACAGACTGGTTCCAAATTGGGAAAGGAGTATGTTAGGCTGTGTATTGTCACCATGCTTATTTAACTTATATGCAGAATACATCATGAGAAATGCTGGGCTGGATGAAGCACAAACTGGAATCAAGATTGCCGGGAGAAATATCAATAACCTCAGATATGTAGGTGACACCATCCTTATGGCAGAAAACAAAGAACTGAAGAGCCTCTTGGTAAAAGTGAAAGAGGAGAGTGAAAAAGTTGGCAAAAAGCTCAAAATTCAGAAAACTAAGATCATGGCATCCAGTCCCATCATTTCATGACAAATAGATGGGGAAACAATGGAAACAGTGACAGACTTCATTTCGGGGGGCTCCAAAATCACTGCAGATGGTGACTGCAGCCATGAAATTAAAAGATGTTTGCTCCTTGGAAGAAAAGTTATGATCAACCTAGACAGTTTATTAAAAAGCAGAGACATTACTTTGGCGACAAAGGTCCGTCTAGTCAAGGCTATGGTTTTTCCAGTAGTCCTGTATGGATGTGAGAGTTGGACCATAAAGAAGGCTAAGTGAAAAAAAAAAAAAAAAAAGAAGGCTAAGTGCCAAAGAATTGGTGTTTTCGAACTGTGGTGTTGGAGAAGACTCTTGAGAGTTCCTTGGACTGCAAGGAGATGCAACCAGTTGATCCTAAAGGAAATCAGTCCTGAATATTCATTGGAAGGACTGATGCTGAAGCTGAAACTCCAATACTGTGGCCACCTGAGGTGAAGAACTGACTCATTTGAAAAGACCCTGATGCTGGGAAAGATTGAAGGCAGGAGGAGAAGGGGACAACAGAGGATGAGGTGGTTGGATGGCATCACCGACTTGATGGACATGAGTTTAAGCAAGCTTTGGGAGTTGGTGGTGGATAGGGAGGCCTGGTGTGCTGCAGTCCATATGATCGCAAAAAGTCAGACACGACTGAGCTACTGAACTGAACTGAGCAGTCAGTCTCAGTGATTTTCATATTCTGATCCCAGCAAGGATTTCTCGTGTGACCCCCTTAAACTTCATCTTGCTTCTCAAGGGATTTTAAAAAATGTATATTTTCAGTTGTACCATGCAGTGTCTCTGAGGCCCCCAGCCTCAACTTTCAAATGAGGGGAGGGAGCTTGCCATGCATTTATCTCAGGGAGGAGGCAGAGATGCACCCGTTCTTGACTGGATGCTCTGGCTGGGCTCAGCCTCCCTTGACCCTTTCCTTCTGGTAACTGGGTCTGCCAGCTCTCTTCAAAAGCAGGGGCCTCATTACTTGGTCAGAAACCTGGAATCAGGCTAGTGTGCCATGCTCACACACGGTGCTTTCCACGTGCTGTGCTGGGTGGGCTCAGCCTGTCCTCACAGCTCCTCCATGGGCTGGGCCTCCTGTCTGCCCACTCCGTGTTAACCTGTGCTCACCCTGATTAAAAGTGTCAGGTAAAGTCAGTATGAGGTTTTAGGGCAGGAGAGATGGTTAGAGTCAGACTAACTCCAGGACACGCATTTCAGTTTGACTTTGTCCCTCGCTGTGATTTCTGCATCTATATCCAGACCTCCTATTCAAAGACTACATCAGGCCATGCGTATCTGCTCTCCTGACACTGCTGGAGACAGGACTGTAAAGGACTAAGGACAGTGAGAACCCATAGCAGTGGCGGGAGCAGGAGAAGGGCCTCAGCGCTCGGACGAGCCTGCGCCTTCCCCGGGGGGGCAGCAGGGGGAGGAGACCTGTGGGAGACGCATCCCGTGGATACACAGACTCAGAGATCTTAGGCCTCAGGATGTTGAGGGTTGTGCATGTGCAGGTGGAAATTTGTATTTGGGGCCCACGAACCCCTGCTCACATGCAGATAGAGTGCTCAGCAGCCGGAGAAGTGCCCTTCCCCAGGCAGAAGCTCAGCACAAATTTCTTGAAACAAATTGAATCACTCATGGGGAGAAGGAGGGCAGCTGTGTGGACCCAGGTGCCTGCTGCATAGATCTAACCTTAGGGAGACAGCATCCTCAGTCAGCCCTGCCAAGATTCAGCCTCATTAAGCTGTCATTTTCTACAGTCCTTGCAGCCATACTGTGTGCAGTTCCACAGGTTTAACGCAGGCATTTTCCCGGTAACAGCCAAGAACTTCACTGCCACCCGGAGTTCTGCGTGCCTCTTTGCGGTCAGGGAGCAGCGCCCCCGGCCCTGGCCCCACCAGCTTGCTGCCTTCCACTTGCAGTGAGAACTGGCTTTTTAGAGAGGCCTGTGAGAACAGAGCCTCGAGCTGTTGCCCCTTTTAGTCTGGCTTCTCTCTCGCCGTGACGTGTCTGAGGTGCATGGGTGTCGTGCGGTTGGCAGCTTGTTCCTTCTCAGTGCCTGCTGGTGCTGTGTGTTGCATGGAGGTGCCAGTATGTTTGCGTTCTCTGTCAGCTCACACTTCGGACACTTGGGTCTTTTCCAGTTTGGGGCCAGTTTGAATAAGGCTGCTGTGAGCATTCTTGGCTGTCTTTGAATGGACACAGGCTCCACGACCAGGAGTGCGATTTCTGGGACATGTACTATGGCTCTGTCTAACTTTTTGAGAAACTGCTGAGGTGTCCTTTAGGATGGCTATAGGGTCACATCCCACCAGCTGCAGATTACAGTTCTAGTCACTTCCCATCCTTGCTCGCACTTAATGTTGTTAGTCTTTTCCTTTTTATTAGTCTAGTGGGTGTGTAGCTGGGGATTAAATGCGATTATCCTTGATGATCAGAGTTTAAGTATCTATTAACGTGCTTATTGGCCATTCATATATCCTTGTGAAGTTTCTGTTCAGCATTTTTGTACTTAAAAAAAAATTTGAGTTGTCTTCCTATTATTGATTTGTGAGTTCTTCATGTATACTCCAGAAATAAGTCCTTAAGTATATATTTTTTTGAATATTTTCTCCCATTCTGTGCCATACCTTTTCCTTTTTGTAAGTCTTAATTTCAACATCCTAGTGAACTATTTATTGCCTCATTCCTGAGTGTGTGTGTGTGAGGTCGCTCAGTCGTGTCCAACTCTTTGCAACCCCATGGACTGTAGCCCACTAGGCTCCTCTGTCCATGGGATTCTCCAGGCAAGAATACTGGAGTGGGTTGCCATTTCCTTCTCCAGGGGATCTTCCCAACCCAGGGATCGAACCCAGGTCTCCTGCATTGCAGGCAGATGCTTTATCCTCTGAGCCACCAGGGAGGCCCCCCATTCCTGAGTAGGAGCGTGTAACTGAGGCAGGATTACAAGACAGAGAAATGCCAGCAACCCACGAAGAAGCCCACAGGAATAGGGAAGGTGATTCCTGAGACAGTGATCCTAAAACCCACCATTGTGTGATCAGTTCAGGTGTGGGGCAGCAGGATGGGCAAGAGTACATGGAGAGAGGGGGAGAGGGCATCGAGGGATCCTGGGGACCGCCTGGGGAGCTGTGAAGGGCAGGCCTGGATACCAGCTGTGGGGCAGCCCAGGGAGAGGAACCCCAGGAGGGGAAAGAATCATACCGTGGGGTGTGTCCTGGGAAGCAGACACCACTCGGGAAACAAGAGAGAACCAGAGAAGTGGTGGGGGGCGGGGAATTGAAAACTCAGAAAAACGATGAGGTGGGAACCGTCATAATTGTTCACTGTTGGGTGTTCAGTGAATCACTAGTATAATAATTTAGGGACTTTTGGATTCAGCCCGTGAGTGAGGCATTCACAGAGCCGGGGGGTGGAGCCATGACCCTGGGTTGGGGAGTGAGGTGGGGCTGCTCAGGAACCCGGCAGGTAGCATGGAGAACTGATGGGGAAGAATGGCATTTTTTTGCAGGTATAGACGGAACCAACAGCTTAACTGCTAGGTGGGGTGGTTCTGGGTTCATGGGCCTCTGCTAACCTTTCCTTTGGGTTTGCTAGCTGCTCTATCTGGGCAGAGCAAAACCCCACAGGATCACGGAGAAAACAGACAAACCCACGCCCGGGGTGAAAACACAGGCTGTCCGATGCCCTTCATCGGGTATTACAGGTCCCAGTCCCACTGTTGACCACATCTTCAATGAGGCCCTCTGCAGTCCTCCCACCCTCAGCGAACCTGTGGGCCTCTGCCGGCCCCGCTGTGCTCCTTTCACCATCAGCCCTTTTCTGTTTTAGGAGCTGCTCCAGGAGTTTGAGTCTGAAATGCAGAAGCGGGAGCATGAGTTCCGCCTGCGGGCTGACAACATGAGCAGTGTTGTCCTGGCACACGAACTCAAGGTAGCAGGCACCCTCGGACTGTGACTGTTTCCTCAGCATAAGTGAGAAGCCCCTGGCGAGTTAGGGTTCACACCAAGGCCTCCCCCTTTGTACGTGAGCTGGGGTCTCTACCATGCAGGTGACATGCTTGCCACCATGCCCACCAGGGCCCTAGTTAGGAGTGATGGCCACTCTGCCCAGCAGGAGGACCACTGGTGCCACCAGTCTGAGTCTGGTTACTCTGACTTTGAGGAAGCGCCTCCCCCAGGAGAAATCACCATCCTGCAAACCCTGCCCTTGGCCTGTAATCCAGTGACACCTCGGAAGGGGCCTGTGAGGAGGGGTCACTCGCCTCTATTTTCAGAAGGAGGCTGTCTGCTGTTGGTGCTCCCAGCTGTGGTGCTGGCTGCCATCCACGAGCATGGCTTCTCTAAAGCACTGACCCGGCCAGGGCACGTGTGAGGAGCACACACACCTGGCCTTTAGCACCAAGACCCGCCGGGAGGGGAGGGGGAGGTGTGCGGGGGACAGAGGAGCAGGGCTGACGTCTGGCCCAGTCCTGCCACCCCAGCTCGTCACACCTGGGCAGCATCCAGCCAGGTGAATGGGTGCTTGCCCTAGTGATCGTCAAGCTGCCTCCTCCAGGCTGCCAGCCTCCCACAGGGCTACAGTCCAAGGGGTAGTGCTTTCTCTGACTTCCCCCTGGAAGAATGCTGTCCCTGTCACCCAGGACCAGCAGGACTCTGAGGCTGGGGCTGCCACAAGGTGACCTCCATGAGGCCTCTTTGGGGACTTCTGAGCACCAGGGGACAGAAGACAAGCAGGACGTGTGGGGCTAACCTATGCTTCACAGTGGAGTGGGTACTCCTGTGGAGAAGAGCGGGGAAAAGTGGGCCAGGGCATGCTCCACTCCCACCTCTAGCTGCCGTGAGACAGTTCTGGTCCCCTGAACACCTGTCGCTGGTGGGCATCACAGCTTGTACATAGCTTATACACAAATTTGGGAACAGCAGTACCATCACCTCTATGTTATAGTCAAAGAAGCCAAGGCCCCAGAGAAGCTATTTAACAATTGAGCATGTGGCTGGGATTTGAGTGGGATCACTCAGCAGGGACCCACGTTCCTACAACCTCCACCTGCCTCTGTGATTCCAGTATCCAGATCATGGCCTAGTTGGGTTGCTGGGGTATGACTTGGATTCACATGGGGGTCTGCTCTCGAGGCTGTGAGAGCGTGTGAGGAGATTCTCACTGTTTTGTTGCTTCTCAAATTCCCGTCTTTCTTCTCTGTCTGTTCTGATAAGATGGTAACACTTAACTCTTAACACCTCTGTTTGTTCCACTTATATCCTCATTTTGAATCCTCTTCTCGAAGATTAAACTGCTGAACAAAGAGCTTGCGGCCCTGAGAGAGGCTGGGGCGAAGGCTGCCGAGTCCCTGCAGGGCGCCGAGGTGGCGAATGCGGAGCTGGAAGACAGGCTGCAGCGAAGAGACTGGGAGCTCCGAGACCTGGTGGCCGTGAAGGATGCCCGGTGCGGAGCCTCCCCGCCTCCCTGTGGGTGGACGTGGCCGACGGGTGGTCTGGGCTCTAGCCCTGAGGCATCTGTCTTTCCCCGGTTATTCCATGTTGGCTTTGCAGTAGCTTTTTATGTGCTTTTTCCACTAACATTTGCTGCTTTTCAGGATAAAAGACTTAGAGGGTAAACTTCACTCTATGCAGCTCACCAGGAAAAAAGAAGAGGAGACATTTCGGAGGAAGTGAGTGTTTTCTGCCTCCAGTGTCAGTGTAGGGATAATGTTCCCCAACCACCTTGGAGGCAAAGCCTCTTCTGTGGAACGTCAGCAGGGTCAGGCCTGCTCTTCGAGGATCGCCCCTCACTTTTCAGTTCTAATGAGCATATTTGTGTGTGTTTGGAGGAATATCATCAAAACACTGAGAATTGTAGGACACGCATGGTGAAATAACTTGCTGAAAGCCGTCCAGGTTGACACCTTAGGGCTAATATACTTGACCCATTGACACAAGTCACAGGAGTGGGGTGCACACAGATGTTCTCTGTCGTCACACTGCATGGTTCTGCAGAGTCATGTGCAGCCCAGATGGCGTTATTTATTTAGCCAAGGTGACAGGGAACCTGTGTTCCCTGGTGTGGGCAGTGGTGTTTGTGCCCTGGAGTCTTGGTGTTTGCCTCTCGAAAATAACTAATGATCACAGGATGATGCATTCAGAGATAACTCCTTCCCTTCACTAGTTGTCATGATCAAACACTTCTTGTGATTTGGTGAAAAAGAAAGGTATATCTTATCAGAAACTAACAGGTACAGCAGCTGCTATGTGTATATTTTTTTGCTACTAGAAGGTGGAAAATACTGAACAGTTTGCAAGATGAGTAAGGTGAGGACTGATCATAATTGGAATGAAAAGTACATCACATGACTTGATTAAATAAGGCCTAACCATCTCACTGAACAATGCTGATGAAATCTGAAGAGAATGCTGTAGAATTATATTTCTTAGGGCTTTTTACTTTTCACTGAAGCCAAATAGAATAAAAGCATAAAAAGTCATAGGTGTCATGTTGGCATAGTGTTGCATGTCAGCAACTCCCAGTGTATTTTCAAGACAAATATCTGTTCCATTGACAGAGTTTCGATAGGTTTGGCATCTCTGACCAAGACGGACATGCAGCCTACCTCCCAAGGCCCCCAGTTCTTGGAGGTCTCCGATTCTGGGTTGTAAGCAGCTCAGCAGTTGGTGTAGCTGTGAAGGGAGGGCAGTTTGCACCTGCATTCTTCTTCCCTAGTCAGTGGGGCTTCTGCTGGTGGTGCTTTGCTGAAACACCTGTTCTGGGTTCTTTTTCCCAAGACACAAATATCTGCTTGAGTCTCTTTTTCCCAAGGACTGTGAGCTTGGGAGGGAGGGGGGCCAGTGTCTGAAAATCTCTTAGTCAGTGGTTCCTCATGAGGAGTGAGGGGCAGAGAGAAGCAGGCAAAAGTGCCCTCCAGAAGGACATGTATGCAGCCCTCTGGCAGGATGAGGGAGATTCTGGGCTAGGGGGTCCAGAACGGGGTCCATGTGAGCTGTTGGGGACCTTCTTGTGTTTCAGGCATGAGGAGCTGGACCATCTCGCCAGGGAAAGGGACGCTGTGCTGATGGCAGCAAAGAGCGCCCACATGGAGCAGCTACAGGCAGCAGACGCCAGGGCCCTGGAGCTGCAGGCGCAATGTGAGAACCTCGAAGTACAGCTCCGCAGGGCTGAGTGGAAGCAGGTGGATGCCACCAAGGAGAAGGACGCCACCATTGACAAGTGAGCCCGGGCCAAGGGCCTGGCTGCCTAGTTACCTGTTTCAGATGAAGGGAAGTGGGCACTGGGTGTTGGGAGTCATTTCTGCAGCTCTCCCGTCACGTTTCTTAACCATTCTCTTTCCTTTTGTTTCATTTGAAAGTGTGTGTGGATATATGTATGAATGTGCGCATTTATTTGTTTATGATAAAACACACATAGCAAGAAATTTACCATCTTGGCCATTTTTAAGTTCAGCAGCATTAAGCACATTCACACTGTTGAGCAACCAACCCTTTTCTTTGTAAAACTAAAACTGTGCCTCTTCAATAATGATTCCCTATCCCCCTCTCCCAGCCCCTGGCACCCACCATCCCACCACCCATCTCTGTGACTCTGACTGCCCTAAGGGCCTAAGGGCCTCACACGAGTGGAATCGCTCAGTGTCTGTCCTTCTCTGACTGACTTATTCCACTCAGCGTGATGGTTTCAAGGTTCATCCATGTTGTTGTAGCACATATCAGAATGTTCCTCCTCTTTAAGGCTGAGTAATTTCACATTGCTTGTATACAGCTACCTTTTGTTTATCAGTTCATCCATTGATGGCGATTTTGGGTGTTTCCACCTTCTAGCTGTTGTGACTAGTGCTTCTGTGACTGTGGGTGAGCAAATATCTGCTCAGGTCTCTTTTCAGTTCTTTTGGGTGTGTACCCGGAAGTGGAGGTGCTAGATATAACTTTTTGAGGAACTGTGTTCCACAGTGATTGCACCATTTTTCACAAGGGTTCCAGTTTCTCCATAAACTAGTTTCTTCTTATCGGTTTGTTTTTTTTTTAATTAAAAATTCTTTTTGGACTTCCCTGGTGGTACAGTAGATAAGAATCCACCTGCCAGTACTGGGGACTTGGGTCTGATACCTGGTCCAGGGAGATTCCACATGCCGAGGAGCAACTAAGCCCCCACGCCACAACTACTGAGCCCTTGCTCTAGAACCTTCAAACCACAACTACTGAGCCTGCCTGCTGCAACTGCTGAAGCCCGTGCACCTAGAGACCATGCTCCACAGCAAGAGAAGCCACCGCAATAAGAAGCCTGTACACCACAACTGGAGAGTAGCCCCTGCCCTCCCCAACTGGAGGCAACCCGAACACAGCAATGAAGACCCAGCACAACCAAAAATAAAATTTAAAAAATTTTTATTTAAACTACTTATTTTTCTGGCCATGCCATATGGCTTGCAGGATCTTAGTTCCCCAACCAGAGATTGAACCCAAACCCTTGGCAGTGAAAACACAGAGTCCTAACCACCAGACTGCCGGGGAATTCCAAACGAACTTCTTTTCAAACCCAGTTTTCTTTCTGACATCTCAGCCAGGCCACACAACCACTCTATCCCACTCTGCTTGGTGTCTGTGAAGGAGCATTGTAACTGAAGCAGTAACTGAACTCAGCCTCTTGGCAACCAATAAGGAAGTGATCTTCAGAGAAGCTTCTGTTTACAGAAGATGATTAAGATAAATAAGTCATTTGCGATGCCTGCTGTTGAGCAACTGGCTTTTCCCCTTTGTTTGGGAAATATTACTCTCTCTCTTTCTCACAGAGAATTCTCTGCCAAGTTATATTTCTGCTGAAGGGGAAAATGGCTCTTAAACTATAAAATACCAGGAAGTCAAAGCTTATTCAGGATAGCTTCCTTAGAGTCACGCGTTTTATTGTTTGATCTGTTAAACCTAGCCAGCAATAGCTGGAGGGGTGAGGCAGCTCAATCTCAAGGGTGTGTGTCTCCCAGTCCACTCTTTGTTTGGTTCGGATAGGCTCTCCCGGGGCCCTTCTCACAGATGGTGACTCAGAGCCCAGGGTCCGGGTGCACAGGCCTTCCTGTGGGGAGGCCTCCTGCCTCTGCTCTCTCCTCTTGGTGGGTCCACCATCATGTTCCTTCCTGCTTCCCCACTGGACAGTCAAGAGGCTGTGACAAGCAGCATCAGTGGGTTCCCAGGAGAAGCCTTAGTGTCCTGTATCAGCGTCTTTTCCTCCCAAGACGTACTCTTTACAAGTCAGCAACAAAATGGCCCACATTATGATTTTGTTGTCTCTTTGGGCCTATTTGTGCTGGTTTTCTTGTGACCATTAGTTTGTGGATAGCGGGGTAGAGAAACCATGAGCTGAGACAGTATTGTGAGAACCTTATCTGCATGTAACCATGCAGACATATAACCTATCAAAAGGAATATGGTAGGGCCAGAGGGCACTTTAACCTCCTAATATTCACAGCTCAGATGCAAAAAGAAGTAGATGAAATTAACTTCAATCCCATTTTTTAACCCAGTATGTCCAACATACCATCTCATCGTGTGCTTGTGTGCTCAAGTCACTTCATTCGCATCCGCCTCCGCGACACTATGGACGGTAGCCTGCCAGCTCCTCTCTTCATGGGATTCTCCAGTCAAGAATACTGGACTGGGTTGCCGTGCCCACCTCCAGGGAATCTTCCAGACCCAGGGACTGAACCTGCATCTCCTGCATTGGTGGGCCGGTTCTTTACCACTGCTGCCACATGGGAAAGCAATTGGTTCATCAGCTATACCGCAATACAAAAAAAAGTTTAAAGTTTGAGAAAAAAATTAGTAAAAATATTAATGAAGATGGATGCCTAAACTTGCCTGAGCAAATTGTTATTGAGGTATTTCACATTTTTTGATGTTAAATTTTAAAGGCACATCACAACTCAATTCAGACTGGCCACGTGCCTGGGCGCCCTGAATGGCCCTTGGCTCAGTGCTGGGCAGCGCTGGTCCAAATGCTGGATGGAGGCCAGGACTCGACGAGGGCAAGTTCTCTGTTCTCCAGAACACAGGCTGGCCTGTGCTGTCTTGGTCTTGGCAAAGTGGAGCGGGAACCAGGATCCCATTCATGGCCACATACAAAGCCCCTGCTGTATGCAGATCTTCTTGTGAGAATTCACTAGAAATTAAGAAGAAATAAAAATATGGTTCTCAAGCTCCAGCAACTTCTCTTATAGTTGCAGAAGCCCAACACATACAGAATCATGAAGGGTCAGGTCAGGAACTGTAATGGGAAGCTCAGAACAGACATCCTGCCTGATGTATGGGGCCCAGGCAGTCGACTTCCCAGGGCTGTGAGCTGCTTCCCTTTCCTTGGGCCTCGGAGCAGAGTTGCCAGTGAGTAAGTAGAGGGGAAGGAGTGCTTTCGAATTCCAGGGCAGGCCAGGCATCTCGTGTCCTTTTGTCTTTCAGTGACACACAGAACAGAGAAGAACCTTTCATTTCCCTCTGTCATGTCAGACATTGGACACTCGAGGCTCCGGGGCTAAGTGTCTGCTGGGACACAGCCAGGGTGAAGCCCGAATTCCATGAGCACCCTGCCTGCTATACATACTGCTTCGTGTGGTCTTGGCTCTAGGTTGGCTCATAGGGTGGGGGGCAGCTTTGTCACAGGCTCTTGGGCCCCCTTGATAGCTCAGTTAGTAAAGAATCCACCTGCAATGCCGGAGACCCCAGTTCAATTCCTGGATCGGGAAGATCCCATGGAAAAGGGATAGGCTACCCACTCCAGTATTCTGGGCTGGAGAATTCCATGGACTGTTATGGGGTTGCAAAGAGTTGGACATGACTGATTGACTTTCTCTTCACTTCACCTGGGCCCCCACCTGCTACTTTTATCACCCCAGCAACTACATGGGACCAGAGCAGGCACTGCCCCAGAAGGAGTACTGGGTGGGCCCAGAGAGGAACAGCTGCAGCCCCTGTTCTGACACCAGCGCTCTATCTGAGCTGGACGTGTTCTCAAGTTTCCAATGTTTTGCAGCCCCCTGTGTTACTAGGATGAGCTGGTTTATTTTAGGTAAGAAGTCAGTATGAATCTGGATGTACTAGAAGTAATTTGTTTAAATCATACTAAGAAAAATGACTTTTTCCAATAACTAAGAATAACACTGGAAATCTCACACTTGAAAGGTCTGAATCCTTTGAGAATGTGACACTTTTATTACATACTATATCTAGGCAGGTTCAAAGAGAGTGCCTTTTCCTAAGTTAGCAGTAGAGCTGAAGAATCCTAATGCTTTACCAAGCAGCATGGCTTTCCTCTGGGCTGTGGGGTTTTGTACATTTCCCCATACCTATTCTCCTTCTTCATTCCCACTTTGGTCTTTAAAGGGTTTTCCCAAATGAGTTTCACTGCAGTCCTTTATGAACAGAGAACTCTGCTACTCAGAGTGATGATAATCCTGGCTTGACCAGGACTGAGGTTGTGGGACCCCCCAAACCAGCCTCTGCCCACTGCAGTGGGCTTTGCCTGTGAGCAGAGAGCCCTACCCAGCCACCGCATGTCTGTGCCAGGCACGCGAGGGCACTGGGATGCCCGAGAGAGTGGAGAGCACAGAGCTCCTCAGGCAGGAGCTCACAGGCCTGGGGTCCCAGGGCCAGGGTAGGAAGAGCAGAGCAGAGCCATCTCGTTCCTGTGGGGTCGCCTGACCCTTTGCCAAGGGCATTTTAACCAACACGCCAGCCTCGACGTTGAGGCCTGTTTAAGCTGAAATGTTGAAAGAACATTCCCATGAGGGCAGCTGCTCCTTTCTCCTTCCTGTCTCTGCCCCTGTTTGGATGGAGTTTTTCTAAGTCTCAAGGCAACTGCAGTCAGGACTTTGGTCTAAGACCTTGTAGACTGACGGCCATCTGCCTTCCCACGGCTTGTCCAGCTCTGTGCCGCAGTCCGTAGCCCACCCACGGGCATGTGGCTCTGGACAGTGGCCAGTGCATGACCATAGATTTTACCCCACAGCATGCTGAATGCAGCTGAGGAGGGAAACAGGCCGCAGACACAAATAGGGTGACTACCATGCAAGCTTTGTATGGTTAATATTGTGGCTACTTTAGTCAATATCTTTAGATGTTTTTCTGAAGTTTTGCTTCTTGGGAGATTTATCAAATTTTTTGAGATTCTACCAATGAATGTACAACCTTATCTTACTATTCAACTTGGAGCTACTTGTTGAATGTCTCTGTGTGGAGTGACTGTGCTAGGCATGGCTAAGGGTGCCCAGGTGTGTCAGATGGTGCTGTCTCAGGACCTCTGGCTCCAAGAGACGTCTCCTGGCCCCTGCTTCCCCACACACTTGGTGTGGGCTTGGAGTGCTACAGGCGTTAGTCAGTGCCTGTGCCGGTGGGAGGGGTGGGTGGATATTTCTTCTTGGGTAGGACCATTTCTTAATCTAGGCAGAGAAGTCTGTGCCCTGATGTATGTAGAAGAGACCTTGATCTGCAGCATTTCCTCTGAGGACTGCGTGCGTGTGTGTATGTGTGTGTTGTAAAAGAGCTTGGGTGAGAACCACGCCCACATTCACGTCACTTCCCTTCTTGGTTTAGACTTCGGGAAGATGCATCAGCTCTAAAATCTGGCTGGGATGCCCAGATTGCTCAGCTATCCAAGGAGATGATCTCCAAAGATCTTCAGGTTCAGTCACTGCAGGAGGAGGAGATGAAGCTGAAGGCACAGCTGGCAAGATGCCAGCAGGATATTGGAAGGTATGTGTGATGGAGGAAGGGGGCGAAGATGGGGGCGGCAGGGCGCATAGTCAGAGGCGGGCTTTCCCACAGAGCACAGTCCCCAGTCTGCACCAGGGCTGTAAAAGGGTGTGTGCTGTTTCGTCCCCTGTCAGGAATCATCTCTGAGTACTGATTTGTTCTAGTGTCTCAGTGTCTTTTCCCATCAGCCAGAACGAACACTTGCGTAAAGGTAATACTCTCTTTCCTAAGGAATCGTTGAAATATAATAAATGTACCCGTTTTAACTGTACAGTTGATGAATCTTGACAAATATATACTTAAGTATGTGGTACAACCACCAATGCCATCAGGATATAAAACCCTTCCATCACCCAAAGCCCCCTCACTCCCTGGCACCCTGTGGACTGCTCTCTGCCGCTATGGGTTTCTCCTGTTCCAGAATTTCATCTGCATAGAATCCTACAGTTTATACTCTTTTGTGTCTGGTTTCTTTGGATATTTATTTAATATTTTCTATTTTATATTTTGTGCATGTGTCGCTTGGTAATTTGTGTCTTTCAATGAGTTTGTTCATTTCATCTAATTGTTGACTTTACTGACATGAAATTGTTTATAGTATTTCTTTACTGTCTCTCTAATATGTGTAAAGTCTGTAACAATGTCCTCTCCCCTTCTTGATATTGATGATACGTATTTTCTCTTTTCTTCTCGTCAGTCTAGCTAGAGATTTATCCATTTTAGAGATCTTTCCAAAGAGCCAGCATTTGGTTTCTTTGACTTTTTTCAGTGGCTTTTCTGTTTTCAATTTCAGTATCTATTGTTATTATTATTATTGCCTTTCTTCTGTTTGCTTTGCTTTAATTTGATGTTCTTTTGCTAGCTTCTAGGACTTTCCCCACAAGGTCTCATCTGCTGGAAAGACTGTGAGGGGTTTTTTTTGAGGGGGGTTGGTATTTTTATTTATTTATTTGGCTACATCGGGTCTTAGATGCAGCATGCAGGATCTTTAGTTCTGGCATATGGGATCTAGTTCCCTGAGCAGGAATCAAACCCACCCCCCCTGCACTGGGAGCGTGGAGTCTAAGCCACATGAACCACTAGGGAAGTCCCAAGGCTGGTGAGGTTTTTATTTCACACATTTTACTTTTCATTTCTCTCCTCACTGTGTTTGTGATTGCTTTTAATCTCTGAACATATTTACAGGAGCTGCTTTATGTATTTTCCTGCCACCTCTGTTGAGAGTCTGTTTCTGTGGCACAGAGGCCAGTATCCTGCTTCCTTGCACATATCACAGCTGTCCATGGCTGTCAGATATGTGGCCACTGTGTCAGCAGACCTCTAGGTTGGTCATCTTTCTTTCACAGGCCCCTGCTGCTCAGCTGTAGTTAGTTAGTTGGCTAATTAGTTAGGCCTGCAGAGCTGCTCGGAGAAGGCACTGGCACCCCACTCCAGTACTCCTGTCTGGAAAATCCCATGGACGGAGGAGCCTGGTGGGCTGCAGTCCATGGGGTCGCTAAGAGTCGGACATGACTGAGGGTCTTCACTTTCACTTTTCACTTTCATGCATTGGAGAAGGAAATGGCAACCCACTCCAGTATTCTTGCCTGGAGAATCCCAGGGACGGGGGAGCCTGGTGGGCTGCTGTCTATGGGGTCACACAGAGTTTGACATGACTGACACGACAGCAGCAGTGGCAGCAGAGTGGCTTGATCATTGAAGGGTTGCTTTAAGTCTTTGTTATGGTAGCTCTAGGCTCTCTTTGTGACTCAGTGGTAAAGAATCCACCTGCCAATGAAGGAGACATGGGTTCAGTCCCTCCAGTCAGATCCTTGGAGAAGGATATGGCAGCCCACTCCAGGATTCTTGCCTGGAGAATCCCATAATCCCATGGACAGAGGAGCCTGGCAGGCTACTGTCCATGGGGCCACAAAGAGTCAGACATGACTGAGCACACATGCACATAAGGTCTCTTCACTAGGGCCAGTCTAGCCCTGTTGCTACATTTCACCCCAGGGTCTCCACTGGGTGCCCTGGACATCTTCTGATGATTCCTAAGGACACTGTGCTGACTGGCAGAGCCTACCAGTTCCTCCTACTTGCGTGGTACTTTCCTCCCTCCATTCTGATTTCTCCCGACCCCCAGTAGATGGACGCTGAGTTATGTTTGACCTTTCAGCTTACTGTTGACCCTGAAGCTCTGTGTCCTCTGCTGGGGACCCTCCTGCACTTCTCTAGTGCAGCTATTTTCTTGTTTGTCTGAGTTTGGCTTTCTTCTTGTCTCTTATTGAGTTTGACCTCCTCTCCCACAGTGCTGAGTTTCTCAGGACTGGGGGACCCAGCCACCTGCTTCCCTTTGAACCTGGGCCTGTGTGAAGGTGTCGGCTGAGCCAGGGGGCCCAGGAGGGATGCCTCCCATCTCAGCTACATCACAGCCCAAAGGAACCTCAGGACAATGTTAATGTTGGCACTTTTTATCCCCACAGGTACAAACAGCAGCTGTCTCTAGCGGTAGAGAGGGAGCAGAGCCTGGAGCGTGACAAGGTGCAGCTAGAGCTGGACTGGCAGCGCCGCTGTGAGGGTGTCGAGCGGGAGCAGTACCAGCAGGCCGAGGACTTGATTCAGGGTCTGACAGCGGCCAGAGATCAGGTCTGCATTCCCCTGGGCTGTCTGACCTCTTTCTGCAGAAGGAAGGGCTGGGAACGTCCACTGCAGCATGGAGTCAGCTTGGGCCCTCACCAAGTTATCCTTTGCACTTGAAAGCACTCAGCCTCACTGAGCAGTTTGGTTTATAACAGTAGGACTTGCAGTGATGAGTCCCTGCCTGCAGCCTTTCTCTAATGGCCAGGCAGCTGTGTCTGGAGCTGGCTGCATAGGTGGCCCCAGCATTTGCTGTGCTCCTCTGGCTCTGACGGCCACATCTTTCCTGGGGTTTCTCACCCTCATGTCTGCTGTCTGCTTCCCAGCAGGGTAAGAAGCTGGTCTGGACCTTGAAAGTGGCACCGCTCCCTTGTGATCCTCCCAAGATAAACTGAGTCTGCGTTTTCCCCAGGTTGCTGCCAAGCTCCAGGAGACGGAGCGGCGGCTATGTGACCGAGAAGTGGTGCTGAAGGCCGTGACCCGAGAGAGAGACCAGGCCCTGCAGGCTCTGCGGACACATGGGCTGCTCCCTGAGGAGGAGGCACAGGTGAGGGGCCGCCCTCCTTCTCCGTCTCCCTTGCAGCTCTTCCTCCCGTGCCCCTCGGAGATACCTGTTCCCCCAGCCAGAGGGAAAACACGCCAAATAGAATCAGCACTGAAGGGAGATCTTTTCACCCATGTTTCCTTTAAGATGACTGTTCACACAAGGTGAGGCCAAGGCTCAACCAGCTAATGGTAATCTGCACTCAATCTTCTCTGTGTCTTTAGTATCTGAAATATCAAAAAACCTCAAATTCAGAAATTGTACCATGGCAGACAGTAACAGAGAACCAAAAGGTTAGAGCTTTATCCCAAAATACGCTTCTTCACATGTGGTGACTGAGCCATTCAATATATGACGATGGCTGTTCCTCTTATAAAGCATGGACTCCCTTGCTGCTGTGTGCCAGCCAGAGCCTGACACTGACTATGGGACCACCCCAGATTGAATGGTGGCCCCGAAAGGTGTATTCTAGTCCTAGTGCCTCAGGTTGCAACCTTCCTTGGAAGTAGGGTCTTTATGGATGTGATTAGTTAAGATGATTAATTAAGGTCACATGGGAGCATCCCAGCAGGACATACTTAAACCTGACGCCCTAGGAGTTAAGCTCCGGAAGGTGTGTCTGTTAACAAACCTCTGGGAAGATTCACACTCAGCCAGTGGTCAGGCTTGGGAGCACTGGTGTTCCCAGGAGGAAAGGAGGGGCCAACCCTAGTCTCCAGGGTCACCTATGGTCCTGGGGGCTCATCGCTGGTGGTTTTTGCATGGGTGCCTTCTCTAGGGCATAGAGAGAAAACAAATGCCTCTTTTTTTGTTTGTTTTTATCAATGAACCTCCCTACCCAAATTTTTCTTTTTTGTATTTTACTGCCAGGCTGGCAATTACAAGAAGACATTTGTCTCCAAGCACCAGCTCAGCTGGTCAGGGAGGCCTGTCAGTGGCTGGTTGCCTTGTTAAGTGATCAGGAACCTTAGAAATGGCCGGGGGATCAGAAACAAGTGCCCCGTGCAGAGTGGGGGGATGTGCACCTCTGTTCTGTACAGGGGGCCCTGGAAGCAAGATGAGAGGGCGTGGCAGAGCAGCACCTCAGACACCAGCAACAGTGAGCTGGCCTGGTGGTCTTAACACAGAGATGTGGCCACCTTATCAAGCAGGGACCCGGGGTGGTGAAGGATGCTGTGCAAGTTTCTGTTGACCCAGAGGAATGAAGGTCTTGAATCCTCCAGATAATAGCAAAACACCTGCTTTCCCCCTTCAGGGCCTTAATACTGTGACCAGGTTAAGGATGTGACCACCTGGTAAAGCGGTAGATGTCGGCTGGCAGGCAGCAGTTGGTGCTGAGTTCTATAGAGGTGGGCCTTTGGCAAACACTAAGTAGGAGCAGCAGGGGATCTGTCATACACTGAAGTCAGAGACAGAGGCTGCTCAGGGAGGAAGGCATGGTGCTTCCTGGGAAGCGGTGAGCCCTCCAGACTGCAGTGCCCAGACAGGCAGCCTCTTGGCTGTGGCCACAGCTTCCTCCTTGCTTGGCACTAGTTTCAATGCTGGCGCCTCGGCAAGGCCAGAGTGATCACCCCACAGAGACCCAGGCACCACTGCCAGGCAGGCTGCTAGGGCAAACACAGCCACAGCCGCAGGGATAGAAGTTTCACCTTGGGAATGGGCTGCACTGCAACTTTGAGGTGGATCCTGCTGTTCAGGACAAGGAATTTGAGGCCTTAAGAGGGGTGGTCCCTTCCCCACAGGTTGCAGAGGGAGAATGTGAACAGTGCAGGCCAGTTGCACAGGCCTGACCACTCTACTGTCTGCCTGAGTGGGAGCAGCCTAAGGCTCTGCTGCAGAGAAGGTGGCAGTTGCCCCAGTGGGCACAGAGAGGGAGGTTAGGTGTTTGCAGGAGGGGCCAGAGCAGTGGCTGGAAGGAAGCCGGCAGGTGCATAGCGGAGCCAGAGGTGGCTTGAAAAGCTGGGGACTAGCGGTAACAGAAGAAAGAGCTTCACTTTGGAAATAAAAGTAATATATACCACCGCGGATATTTTACAGTTTTAGTTCACCATAGTGCTCTCTGGAATAAAGCTGGCCCAACGTTCACCCCAGCTCAACTCCTGCATGGCCGGACCTCTTGGTATGGGATCTTAGTGGGAAGTCTTCTAGGTTTCATTGGTTCTTATGAGAAGTTGGTGATTTCTTTTATTTGCCCTTCTGCAGGAATGTAATGTGCCTTTTTTTCCTCTGGTGGTTTTTAAGAGATTTCCTTCATCACTGTTTTTAAGCAGTTTGACCATGATGTGCTCTTTGGTGTGACTTTCTTTGTGTTTATCTTGCTTTGGGTTTGTTGAACTTCTTGGATCTGTGGACTTAGGTTTTCATCAAATTTGAAATTTTTCTGCCAGCACGTTCTGAATCCTTTTCTGTCCCCTCGTTGATCTGGGTTAGTGTTTGTCTGCTTCACAGTGTTGTGCAATCATTAGAGCAGAATGACTGTTGTTACTTGTTCTTTTGTCTTTCACTCTGTTCTTGAGTTTGGATACTTTCTACTGCTCTATCTTTATGTTCACTTTACCTTTCCTCCTGTAGTAGCTTATCTGCTCTTAATCCCATCCTATCCAGTGAATTTTTCCTTCAGACAATGTATTTTTCATCTCTGTAGATGCTATTTTGTTATTTTTGATATCTTCTGTTTCTGTTTTTTCATATTTTTCTTTAAATCCTGGAGTATATTTATGTGAACTGCTTTAAAGTCCTTGACTATCACTCAGCATGATGTTTTCATGTTCCATCCATGTTGTAGTGTGTGTCAAAATGTCATTCCTTTTTATGGCTATGGTATTTCATGATGTTAACTTTTGTTTATCTATCATCTGTTGGTGGACATTTGGATGTTTCCATTTTGGCTACTATGATTAATGCTGCTCCAAACATGTCTGCAGGTTTCTGTGTGGATCTGTGTTTTTACTTCTCTCAAGTCTGTACCCAAGAGTGGAATTGCTGGGTTATGTAATAGCTCTGTGTTTACTTTACTGAGGAACAGCCAGACTGTTTTCCATAGCAGCTGCACGGTGTTACATCTTACATTTACAAACCACTGAGTAATTTTACCATTTACAGTGTACAAGGGTTCCATTTTCTCCACATCCTCACCAACACTTGTTATTGTCCATCTTTTTTTATATTTATTTATGTGGCTGCACTGGGTCTTAGTTGCACCATGTGGGATCTAGTTCCCCAACCAGGGATCGAACCCAGGCCTGCTCCATCGGGAGCACAATCTTAGCCACCAGGCCCCCAGGGAAGTCTCTCTCTCTCTTTTTTTTTTAAATAACTGCCACTCTAACGGGTGAATGATGGGTTTTTTACTAAAAAGGAAGAGTCCCCAAATCTCCCAATAAAAATTATCTTTGAAAAACAGTGGTCTTGTCTTTATGAAACATAAAAGAAAAAGCATTTTCTGTCAACATCACCCATCTCCAGGACAGATGAGGGGCAGCAGGGACGGCGGGGCTGGAGGATGCAGGCAGACACAGACACAGCCAGCCTCAGACGCACAAAGGAATCACTGGTTCTTGGCTCTAACCATTTTCTTTTTCTTTTATTTTCTGTATTTGACAGAGGCCTCTAAGGCATCAAGGAGAAGAAATCAATAAAAGCTTTCTGTCTAGTGAGATCCAGCGGCTAAAAGAGCAGAACACAAGTTTGCGAAATGTTATTGCACAAATGAGGAAAGAAATGGAAGCTCTAAGTGATCAAATTCTTCCTTCTGCCCAGTTAGGAGGGGAGACCTCACACACAAACCAGCCTGACCCAAAGGCAGCAGCTGATTCTGCGATTCCTGGTGAGCAAGGGGGAGAGGGAAGATGAGGAGTCATCTCTACTGGGTCCGTAAATAGGCTTTGCTTGGAGTCTTAAAAATGAGCATCCCCTTTATAGATTAAGTCAAAGTATGACAGCTGCTTTCCCTCCAAGAGAAAAGATCTTAAGTCATATTTTTTATGTACAATAAAAACTTTGTATTGGTTCGTGGAGGGAAAAAGGGAAGAATACACACATGACACATTTAAAAACCAGAGACAGACTTGGACCAGGGGCTGGTTGGCACTGCGCTCTCCTGGAGTAGGAAGCAGGCCTGAGGGACCAGGCCTTTCCTCGGGGGAGCTTCCTGAGCCCCAGAGGTGGCTCCGCCTCCTACTGTTCAGGGCAGGGACTCAAAGGATGGTGAGTGGAGGGGCAGCACCTCTGATGGCTGCGCTCAGGATGGGATTGTCAAGTCTGCATCAAGGATCACAGGACTGAGGACTCCTGATCATGGGGCCCACTCGGAGAGCGTGGCAAGCTGGTCTCTGGAGGGGCGGATGACACACAGACAGCATGGGACAGTCATGAGAGTTGGACAGGGGAGGGCGCGGGTGCTAGATAAAGAGAGTGTATACGCCTGTGCCTATGTGTTTACTGTGTTTTTTGGAAGGTTACGTTCTGGCCCTTGAAGCAGAAATGCAAAATCTAAAACATAAATTTAAAACACTGGAGGAACAACTAGATGTGTTAGATCCTTCGAAGACGTCCTTGTCCTGTGCCTGTGCTCAACCCAGTGTCCTGGTCTCCACGGATACCACCGGTGAGAGTCCTTGTCTAGTGTTGTGTGCTCTGTCTAGTGACTTCCCAGTAACGCAGCCCAAGGAGATGTTACAAGGGTGCCACCCCAGGAGCCCCACTTCCTCCTGCTGAGCCAGCCACTCTCCTGATTCCTCACCCTATGGCTGAATTTTCATATAAGTGCAATTACAAGTGTGTATTCTCGTCTGGAGTTATTTCTCCACTGATCTCCAGTAACATATTGGGCACCTACTGACCTGGGGAGTTCCTCTTTCAGTGTCCTATCATTTTGCCTTTTCATACTGTTCATGGGGTTCTCAAAGCGAGAATACTGAAGTGGTTTGCCATTCCCTTTGCCAGTGGACCACATTCTGTCAGACCTCTCCACCATGACCCGTCCGTCTTGGGTGGCCCCACATAGCATGGCTTAGTTTCACTGAGTTAGACAAGGCTGTGGTCCATGTGATCAGATTGGCTAGTTTTCTGTGATTATGGTTTCCGTATGTCTGCCCTCTGATGCCCTCTTGCAACACCTACCATCTTATTTGGGTTTCTCTTACCTTGGACATGGGGTATCTCTTCACGGCCGCCCCTCCTGACCTTGAACGTGGAGTAGCTCCTCTCGGCCCTCCTGCTCCCATGCAGCCACCGCTCCTTGGACATGGGGTTGCTCCTCTCGGCCGCCACCCCTGACCTCGGGCATGGGGTAGCTCCTCTAGGTCACTGCCCCTGACCTCGACGTGGGGTAGCTCCTCTTGGCCACTCCTGCGCCGTGGCAGCCTGGCGCTCTCAGTCGCCACCCCTGACCTTGGGAGAGGGGTAGCTCCTCTCGACCGCGCTTCTACACAGTCCATTGCAGCCGCCGCACTTCTTCGAGCCACAGCGAAAACAATACCAGTGTGGATGTGACTGGTGATAGAAGCAAGGTCTGATGCTGTAAAGAGCAATATTGCATAGGAACCTGGAATGTTAGGTCCATGAATCAAGGCAAATTGGAAGTGGTCAAACATGAGATGGCAAGAGTGAATGTCGACATTCTAGGAATCAGCGAACTAAAATAGACTGGAATGGGTGAATTTAACTCAGATGACCATTATATCTACTCCTGTGGGCAGGAATCCCTTAGAAGAAATGGAGTAGTCGTCATGGTCAACAAAAGAGTCTGAAATGGAGTACTTGGATGCAATCTCAAAAACGACAGAATGATCTCTGTTTCCAAGGCGAACCATTCAATATCACGGTAATCCAAGCTTATGCGCCAGCCAGTAACCCTGAAGAAGCTGAAGTTGAATGGTTCTATGAAGACCTACAAGACCTTTTAGAACTAACATCCAAAAAAGATGTCCTTTTCATTATAGGGGACTGGAATGCACAAGTAGGAAGTCAAGAAACACCTGGAGTAACAGGCAAATTTGGCCTTGGAGTACGGAATGAAGCAGGGCAAAGGCTAATAGAGTTTTGCTAAGAGAATGCACTGGTCATAGCAAACACCCTCTTCCAACAACACAAGAGAAGACTCTACACATGAACATCACCAGATGGTCAACACCGAAATCAGATTGATTATATTCTTTGCAGCCAAAGATGGAGAAGCTCTGTACAGTCAGCAAAAACAAGACCAGGAGCTGACTGTGGCTCAGATCATGAACTCCTTATTGCCAAATTCAGACTTAAATTGAAGAAAGTGGGGAAAACCACTAGCCCATTCAGGTATGACCTAAATCAAATCCCTTATGATTGTACAGTGGAAGTGAGAAATAGATTTAAGGGGCTAGATCTGATAGACAGAGTGCCTGATGAACTATGGACGGAGGTTCATGACGTTGTATAGGAGACAGGATCAAGACCATCCACAAGAAAAAGAAATGCAAAAAAGCAAAATGGCTGTCTGAGGAGGCCTTACAAATAGCTGTGAAAAGAAGAGAAGCGAAAAGCAAAGGAGAAAAGGAAAGATATACCCATTTGAATGCAGAGTTCCAAAGAATAGCCAGGAGAGATAAGAAAGCCTTCCTCAGTGATCAATGCAAAGAAATAGAGGAAAACAACAGAATGGGAAAGACTAGAGATCTCTTCAAGAAAATTAGAGATACCAAGGGAACATTTCATACAACAAAGATGGGTTTGATAAAGGACAGAAATGGTATGAACCTAACAGAAGCAGGAGATATTAAGAAGAGGTGGCAAGAATACACAGAACTGTACAAAAAAGATCTTCACGACCCAGATAATCACAATGGTGTGATCACTCACCTAGAGCCAGACATCCTGGAATGTGAAGTCAGGTGGGCCTTAGAAAGCATCATGACAAACAAAGCTAGTGGATGTGATGGAATTCCAGTTGAGCTATTTCAAATCCTGAAAGATGATGCTGTGAAAGTGCTGCACTCAATATGCCAGCAAATTTGGAAAACTCAGCAGTAGTCACAGGACTGGAAAAGGTCAGTTTTCATTCCAATTCTGAAGAAAGGCAATGCCAAAGAATGCTCAAACTACCACACAATTGCACTCGTCTCACACGCTAGTAAAGTAATGCTCAAAATTCTCCAAGCCAGGCTTCAGCAATATGTGAACCGTGAACTTCCAGATGTTCAACCTGGTTTTAGAAATGGCAGAGGAACCAGAGATCAAATTGCCAACATCTGCTGGATCATTGAAAAAGCAAAAGAGTTGCAGAAAAACATCTATTTCTGCTTTATTGACTATGCCAAAGCCTTTGACTGTGTGGGTCACAATAAACTGTGGCAAATTCTTCAAGAGATGGGAATACCAGACCACCTGACCTGCCTCTTGAGAAACCTTTATGCAGGTCAGGAAGCAACAGTTAGAACTGTACATGGAACAACAGACTGGTTCCAAATAGGAAAAGGAGTACATCAAGGCTGTATATTGTCACCCTGCTTATTTAACTTATATGCAGAGTACATCATGAGAAATGTTGGGCTGGAAGAAGCACAAGCTGGAATCAAGATTGCCAGGAGATATATCAATCACCTCAGATATGCAGATAATATCACCCTTATGGCAGAAAGTGAAGAGGAACTAAAAAGCCTCTTGGTGAAAGTGAAAGAGGAGAGTGAAAAAGTTGGCTTAAAGCTCAACATTCAGAAAACTAACATCATGGCATCCGGTCCCATCACTTCATGGGGAAATAGATGGGGAAACAGTGGAAACAGTGTCAGACTATTTTTTTGGGCTCCAAAATCACTGCAGATGGTGATTGCAGCCATGAAATTAAAAGATGCTTACTCTTTGGAAGGAAAGTTATGACCAACCTAGACAGCATATTAAAAAGCAGAGACATTACTTTGTCAACAAAGGTCCGTCTAGTCAAGGCTATGGTTTTTCCAGTGGTCATATATGGATGTGAGAGTTGGTCTGTGAAGAAAGCTGAGTGCCAAAGAATTGATGCTTTTGAACTATGGTGTTGGAGAAGACTCTTGAGAGTCCCTTGGACTGCAAGGAGATCCAACCAGTCCATCCTAAAGGAGATCAGTCCTGGGTGTTCATTGGAAGGACTGATGCTGAAGCTGAAACTCCAATACTTTGGCCACCTCATGCGAAGAGTTGACTCACTGGAAAAGACCCTGATGCTGGGAGGGATTGGGGGCAGGAGGAGAAGGGGACGACAGAGGATGAGATGGCTGGATGGCATCACCGACTCGATGGGCGTGAGTTTGAGTAAACTCCGGGAGTTTGTGATGGACAGGGAGGCCTGGCGTGCTGCGATTCATGGGATCTCAAAAAGTCGGACACGACTGAGTGACTGAACTGAACTGAACTGATTCTCGTCTGACTTCTTTTGAGCAGCAGTATGTTTTAGTTGATGGTCAGACCAAACTGTTCACATCATTTCCTCCCCCAATTAGCAGCCGAGAGAGCCGTTGCTCTCCTGCCACCACAGCACAGTGAGCCATCTCATGTGCAGTATGTCCTTGTATCTTACTTATTTTATACATAATGGTTTGTACTTCTCAATCCTCTACCATTATCTCACCCCTCCCTGCTTCCCTTTCCCCACATTAAGCGTTAGCTTGTTCTCTATGTCTGTGAGTCTGTTTTTTGTTATATTCACTAGTTATATTTTTTAGATTCCACACATAGACATTATACTGTGTTTGTCTTTCTCTAACTTATTTTACTGAGCATAATGCCCTTCTGGTCCATCCGTGTTGTTGCAAATGGCCAAATTTCATTCTGTGATCAAGGAGTCAAGCATATGCAATGGGGAAAAGAAAGTCTCTTCAATAAGTGGTCCTGGGAAGACTGGACAGCTAGCTACATGTAAAATAGCAAAATTAGAACATTCTCTAACACCACATATAAAAATTAAGCTCAAAATGGATTAAAGACCTAAATGTGAGGCCAGAAATCATAAAACTCCTAGAAGAAAACTTATAGGCAGAACCCTCTGCATAAACCTTAGCAGTATTTTTTTGGATCCATCTCCTAAGGCAACAGAAATTCATAGTGTAAGACAGATTTATTCATCAGTCTGTTCCTCTATGGTTGGTCCAGTCTTAGAGGCTTGTTCTGGTCTCCACTTCCATTTCTCTTAACTTCCTTTTCCAATGAGAAGCCTGACTCCTTGTCCTCGTACGTTACTTCTTCCATCCAGTTCTTGGGTGTGAGTACCCTCCCTTGCACAGACGGAGGCCTTTTCCCACATAGAGGCCCCACCCTTTGACCCAGGCCCACCCTGGCTCTGACAGCCGAGCCAGGCTGCCCTTCATCCTGACTCCCTCGCCAGCTGGGTTGCAGCTCTCAGGCGGATTAGCCCCGGAGGGTAACTTCCAGCCGCCCATCTGATGATTTATGGGCTTGATTGCTGAGGAAGGAAAGGAAAAGGCAGGCAGGACACTGCCTACATAGTCATCTTGTTGCAGGTAATGGAAGTCTTACTTTTGGCTTTTCCAATGCTAATATCTTTTACTTTTTTTTTCTCATGTTATTTCCCCCTGATTGAACTCTTTAGTATGATGTTGATCATAGCTGACTTTCCTCCTGATCCCAAAGAAGAATTTTCAACACTTTAAATTTGAATCATTACTTTTTTGTGTCAGATTAAGGAAATTTCTTCCTACTCCTATTGTAATACAAATCTGTGTTTTTTGTCATGATTCTGCCTCCACTGGGTTACTTGAACATTTTTTAGTGTTCTATTTTAATCTGGTTTTTCAGTCTCTTTAGGTACTTTTTCTAGTGTTTTCCCCAGGAATTACAGTATACTTACTTATCATGGTCAACTAGTGTCAGCATTTTGCAATTTCAAGTGGAATATGGGGATCTTACCACCTGTCAGGCCTCATCACCCCATTTCTTGTTGCAAATACCACCCCTCTGTACATCGAGAACCACATCAGACAGGATTCTCATTTTTGCTTTCAACTCAAACATAATTTTAAAAACTCAGGAGGAGAGGCATGGTCCATTCTTTCCTTGAATCCTTATCCTTTCTGTGACTCTTTCTTGATTCTAGGTTCCTTCTGTCTGAAGCACTTGTTTCGGCAGATTGTTTTTAGCAAGGCTGCTGGTGACAAACTCACAAGGTTTTCCTACCTCCGAGATGTCTTTGTTTCACCTTCATCCCTGAAGAGTATACTCACTGATATAAAATTATGAGTTTACGGTTCTTTGCTTTCAGCACTTAAACCATTTTCTTCTGGGGAAAAATCAGATGATTGTTTCTGATGAGAAGTCTATTGCCTTTGAAATCATTTCTCTCTGCCTGCTTTCAAAGTTTGTCTTTAGTTTCAGAAATCTGATTATGATGGTCTGGGCATAGATTTCCTTGGCTTATCCTTTTGGCATTGAAACTGAACCAAATTTGAGGAGTTTTCAACCATTACTTCTTCAAGTATTTTTTTTTAGCTCCACGCTGTCCTTCCTTTTTGGACTCCAATGACAAGAGTATTAGAACTTTTGTTTTTCTCCCCCAGGTCACTGAGGCTCTGTCTGTTTCCAGTCTGTTTTCTGTATCATTCAGACTGGAAAATTTCTGTTTTTTTCTTCAAGTTCACCAATTCTTTCTTCTGTTGAGCCCATCTAGTGAGATTCTTATTATGGTTTCGGTTCTAAAATTTCCATTAAAAACAAAATTTTTTTCACACCTTGGCTGAAACTTCCAATATTCCATTTGTTTTGAGAGTGTATCATATTGCCTGTTGGAACTGCTTTAATCTGTCATCTTGATATTGTCTTTTATCATTCAAGGTACAATTTTCCTTGTTGTTGATATAACGAGTGATTTTGAATTCTGTCATGGATGTTTTGAGTGTTGTGTCATCCTCTATTACACATTGTTTTGTGTTTCCTTAGCATCTATTACTGGCTTATCCTGTCCTTTCTTCTACCTTATTTGCTTTTTTCCTCATTTTTGAAATGGACATTCAACTCATTTATCTTTCATCTTTCTTTTCTAAAAAAAATCTTCTATGGCTATAAATACTTTTGAAAGGACAGCTTTAGATGCATTCCTTAAGTTTTGATAAGCTGTGCTTTGATGGTAATTCAGTTCAAAGTAATTTCTAATATCTTTGATCTGTGCATTGTATTGTGATTTCTTCTTTGATCTGTGGATTGTATGGACATTTTCGTTATTGCTAGCCAAATGACTAGGAGTCAACATAGGTCGGCCTCTAACAGACACTGGCTGGTAAAGTTGTATTTTTCTTCTGCAAAGACTCCTACTTTCTTGGTATAAAAGTTGTTCTTCATGTGCATCTCATCTCAGTCCTTGTGGGCACCCAACTGCATCCACTTAGCTTTAGAAAGTCTTCAGTGTCCCAGTGGACCAGCAGTGACAAGTGGCCATCCTTGGAAGAGGGCAGAGAAGAACATACCTACGCACCTCTGTCCTGGACGCCACAGATGTCCTCCCCAGGGCAACAGCAGGCAATTGGAAGCTCCCCCAGGACTATAGGAATGTGAGTCTGACAAAATCACTTTTTCTGCAGGAGGAACTGTGCCAGTTGATAGAGCATCCATGGGACTGGCACTCAGGAGGCTTGGAGACAGATCACATCTCCTGAGCTTCCTGGTGGCACGACTGAGACAGAAGGTATGGTCACCCTCTGACGCTCGACTGTGTAGGTCTTCCAACTGAGGGCCCTGCTGGGGTGGCAGTGAGCCCCAGGAATCTGCTGTGGCCTCTCTGTGCCTCCAGTTCCCTGTGAGGACAGGGTTATTGTTGGGAATAGCTGGTTCACCTCTCATATGTCCCTGGAAGGCACATGGTGAGGATCTGGTAGACGATAGAGGGGAGTCCAGGGCAGGAGGGACAGTGCTGGCCGTTGACACGCAGGGCCTTGTTTCTGCCCACCCAGGATGTGCTGAGCAAGTCCAGGGACCCACATTAAACCCAGGCACCGAGCTGTGGCAAGAGCATGTGCTTGTCACCACCATCTGTGACTCTAGATGCTTCACCCAATGCCGGCCCTTTCTGTCCCCTCGGCCCTGCCTTCTGGGGGACACGTTGTAACCAGGCGCTGGGCTGACCCACTCCTTCCTGTGGAGGTGGGACAACTGGACAAACTCCAGTGCAGCTCCACCCTGGCACCTGGGACTGGTGACCCAGCCTGTGCTTTATTGCTGTTATCTTGTGATACCTCTTTTGATTAGTGTTTTTTTTTTAAATTCTGGTAAAATATACATAACAAATTTGGCATTTTTGTGTGTACAATTCAGTAACATTAAGTATATTCACAGTATTGTGTAACCATCACCAGGGTCTATTCCCAATAGGACGTTTTTATCGTTTGAACAGAAACTCTGTCCCCATTGAACACTTAACTCCCTGTTTCCTGCCCCCAGCCCCTGGTTCTACTCTTTCATCTTTGTGACCATCTCTTCCGGGAGCCTCCTATGAGTGAAATCACTCAGTATTTGTTCTTCTGTGACTGGCTGCTTTCACTCAGCATAATGTCCTCAGGGTTCATCCATGTTGTTGCAGGGGTCGGAACTTCCTCTTAAGAACCCCACATTCAGTGTACCCACTCATCTTCTGGACACTTGGGTTGTTTCCGCCGTTTGGCTGCTGTCAATGCGATGGACTCCTATCTGTCCAAGTGCCTGTTTCAGTTCTTCCAGGTAGACGTAAAGGAGTGGAATCCCTGGTCACAGGGTAATTCTACATTCAACTTTCTGGAGAACCACTAAACATTTCCACAGTGGCTGCACACTTTCCACTCCCAGAAGGTGCACAAGGGCCCCCATGTCTCATGTCCTCACCTGTAGTAGCTGCTTTCTGTCTTTTTGACTCTAGCCATCCTAGCAGTTTTGAGGTGGACCTCACTGTGGCCCATTTGCATTTTCTTGATAAAAGAAATGGGGTGGCAAAGAGTCGGACATGACGAACAACTGAACTGAACTGATAAAAAATGACGTTGAGCATGTGTTCATGTGCTTATCAGCCATTTGTATGTCTTTTTTGAAGAAATGTCCATGAGTATCCTCAGCCCACTTTTAATTTGGCTGTTTGTCATCTCGTTGAATTGTCAGAGTTCTTTGTATTTTCTGGGTTCAAGTCTCTGGTCAGATACGTGATTTGCAGACTTTGCCTCGCATTCCCTGACTTACCTTTTCATGGTCTCGATGATGGCCCTGGGAGCACAGCTCTTACTGCTGGTGTTGGTGGTGTCACACGTCCGTGTTGCCTTGTGATGTTTCTTTCCCCTGGGGCCATTTTCCCATGTCCTTTCAAGTCTGTAAGTGTGTAGGTTACACCATCCTGCAGACTGCATCTTCTGTGGAACAGAACTCCTGACTAGTGACGGACATTGCTCGGAGCTTTCTGTCTCCTGTGGGGGGCAGGCAGTGCCTGGAAATCAGATGCCTTATCTTGACTGAAGAGCAGTTGTGCTGTTGCAATGGAGATGAACTTGACCGCTTTTCTCTTTCTGGGATTGCAGACTTGTGTCACATACGAGGGGAGGGGGCCTTCAGATCTGTGCCCTTTCCCAGTTCTGCCCCACTGTGAGGATTTCACACGCCCCACAAGCTACAAACAGGATATAAATATATAAATAAGAACTTTTAATTTTGTTTTGGTAATCACAGATGATTTGATTATCCTGAGGGTAAAAGTCTACCCTAAAGTGTTTTCTATTTGTTTTTTACTTAACAGTATTTGTTTATCAGATGATCACCTTTTTTAGTGTATGTGACAAAGAATAAAATATTCATTACAAACTCATTAGTCCCTGGAACAGGAAAGTGTTAGTCACTCAGTAATGTCCGACTCTTTGCAATCCCATGAACTGTGACCTGCCAGGCTCCTCTTTCCATGGAATTCTCCAGACAAGAATACTGGAGTGGGTTACTGTTCCCTTTTCCAGGGGAATCTTCCTGACTCAGGGATTAAACCCAGGTCTCCTGCATTAAGGCAGACTCTTTACCACCTGAGCCACCAGGTGGAAGCCTGGTGGAAGCCTCTGGAATAGGAAGATGGTATCTTATCTTCCTGAGAATAAAATGGGAAAGTTGAGGGTGTAGAAAAGTGTGTCTTTCTTTTTGCCTGTCTTTCCCTCTTTACGCCGGGAGAGTAGATGTCCAGAGAGGCAGCTGAAGGACAGGGTGGCCCCAGAGCTCTGGCTTGGACTCTGCTCACATACCTCCTGGCCATCCCGCAGCTGACCCAGGCTGCTCGTGTGGCTGGGACTTCCATTCCTGCCCCTTCCTCCACTTCTGTCATTTGATATGCTTAGGCCTTCCCACCCCTGCCCATGATTAGTTGCCCTTTGTCTCCACCTGGGACTCAGGCCCAGGGAGAGGGTTTTAAGACCTGTCGTCCAGACATTTCCATGCACAGACTCTCCCCAACCACCTTTGGGTCCAGTGTAGGCTTTGCTGCAGGTGCCCACATCTTCACTCTGGGGGTGACGAGTGAAGCCATTGGGGAGCCTGATTAGGTGGGACCAGAAGTGCAGTGGCTTGGTTGCAGGGGTGCAGTCTAATGGAGGTTGGAATGAAGCCAGAGAGGGGAGGCTGACCGGCATGTGTCCTTCTGATCTTTCTGGACTTTCTGCCACCTAGTGCTGCCCTTCTGCTTCCCTGTCCTCCCTGCTGATGTGTTCCAGCCCCCCTCCCAGAGCCTGCCTCCTTCCTAACATTGCCTCTAAAATCGCCTCTTAGGTGTTGCAGGAACCCCTGGACGTGGACACCATCCAGCGAGAGCTTCCCCACAAGCTGGACCAGGTGCACCTGGAGGCTCTGCAGCTGCAGAAGCAGGTGGCTGAGCTGGAGAAGCATTTCGGGTCAGCTTGGAAGGAAAGTGGGGGCGCTGCCGGCAGGCAGCAGCCAAAGGCCTCAGATACTGCAGCTGTTGGAGGAGAGGTGGGTGCCCTGTGGTGCTTGGCATCCTGTGCAGGACTGGTCTGGGGTGTGGTCTTGGCCAGTGGGGAGCCCGCCCCACCCTCCCTCTTCTTCCCTGGCTGGGCTGGCCTTGTCTGGGCTGTTCCCTGCAGATGCCATAAAGGGCTGCCACCCTGCCCTTATCCTGCAGGTCGCTGAGACCCCTCATGTAAAACTATGTAGGGAGCCTACACACGTGAAGGGGGCCATTCCATGTCCTCTAGAACAGGAGGCCTTGACCATGTGCTTCAAGGGCCTGGGAAGCCCTGAAATGGATATAACAAGGTGACTTTTCCTTCCAGAGGACCCCCAGGGGTGGACCCTGTGGATCTCATAAGCTTCTCAGAGTGTTTGAGATACTGCCTGGAGCATTGGCCACCAGGCCACCTAGTGTCCTGGTTCTGGTCAGGCCCTTGGCACCCAGTCCCCCTCCAGTTCCATGGTTGGGTTTAGGCCAAGGTCCCAAGCCAGGGCATGGGTTCTACCACAGCACATTTTCCCTACATGCCTACCAGACAGGCTACTTTCCCACTTCCTGAATGCCATTAATAGAAATGCTGCAAAGAATGGCTTTTGTCACAGGGCATCATGTGACACACCTCCTGAGATCTGTCAGTTACCTGCAATCACAGATGGTGACCTGCAGTTACCTGTGATTGTCTGTGATTGCTGCAGTGACCTGCAGTTACCTGTTTCCTGCAGTGACCTGCAGTTACCTGTGTTACCTATGTCTGCAGATGGGATAGTCATAAGCAGAAGGTTTTAGGGACAATAAAATGATGTCTGGAAGGTGCTGAGAGTCCCCGGGCAGAAACAGCATTGACTGTATTCCCCACCCACCCCACCCTCTGCTGAGTGGCTCTTATCCCACCAACCAAGCTATGAGAGTGACTTAGGGACACAGGAGGGACCCGCCTCCAGGACCTACTATCAGGGGCTGTGAAGGGCCTCGAAGGGAGAATATGCAGCCCAGGACACTGTCTGACCCAGTGAACACGAGGGAGGCTGCTGTGCCTTGGCAGGGACAAACATGTGAGTTGTGTCTTTAGGGGCTGGTGAGGGGGAGGCTGAGGGAGTCTGAGCTGTGGGGCACAAGAAGTGGAAAGTGAACCCTCTGTGCCATCGGTAGGTGGGTGCCGTCCCCAGGAACCTCAGACATCTCCACAGTCCTATATCTCAGGAGTCAAGTCCAGAGGCTCTGGGCCCAACTGGGCAGCAGTTGCCAGCTGTGTCTGCTCTCCTGCCATGGCCACAACTGTTCCAGGTGTTGCCAGGGGCTTGCTGCAGCCCCAGTGGCCCTCATAGCTCCCTTGTTAGCAGCCCTCACATAACTCACTGACCCTACCTGTTTTGAGCGAAAGAGAAAGAAACCCTGCAAATGAGTGGAAATTAAAGTTGAAGTACTTATCCCTCGGCAGACAGCCTGGGATCTGAAGCAACTTGAGGCCCACAGCTGTTCTCCCAGGGGGGGTGTTTGGAGCTCTCTGGGTCTTGTAGTTTCTGCACAGCTGTCAGGGTCCCACCTCCTTCCAGGTCTAGGTGTCCCTTGACCTTGGTGAGGTCACTCCTAGGGTGAGAAATTGGAGGCATAGGAAACCCTTGGCCCAGACCAGGCCCACCCAATCCAGGCTCCACTCATAATTGCCCAGCTGTGTGTTGGGTGCCCAGAGAAGAGGTTGTGGGCACCAGGCTTCCAAAACTGGGGGAAACGGTGGTGGGGAGGGCTGAGGTACCTCTGGGGCACAGATTGGGCTTGGAGTCACCAGGTTAATCTTGTGGGTTACTTTGAAGAGAGGGTTGTTCACACATCCTGGCTCCATCCACTGGGAGCCAAGGAACAGTGGCTCCCCAGGGTGGGTGAGCACACAACCAGTGCCTAGATCACATTCCTGAACTACTTGCTCTGTAGAGAAGAACCAGGGTAAGAGGCCGATTCCACCGCTGCAGAGACATGACAAGGGGGTAGGAGCCAGCATAAAGGGCTCCCACTGACCAGATCCAGACTAGTCAATCATGAAGTCACAGTTATAATTTGCCTACTAAAACAGGGAGTTGCATTCATGCTGATGCAAATAAGCTGACAAGGAAAGGAAGGAGAGAGGGAAACTCTTACATAGAACATCAGCCTGCAGTCACCTGCAGTAGGATGTTAAGGGAATGACACCATGGGAAGGTCATCAGTGGGCACTGAAATTCTGGACAAGCTGTTTATGAGAAATCTCTCCACAAGTTCTTATTGTGAAGGGAAGACAGTAACTTTCCAGTGCAGCAGCCCATGGACACCACTTCCAAGGGATCAACTTCCGTTACCGACACTGGGACAGACGGACATCGTGGGCCAATGGACGGGAGAGGGACAGCCTCACTCCTGACTCCCAAGTATGAGATCTTGGACAGATCCTGACTGAGGGACACTAAACATACAGCCTGTCCTGTTGAGAGCATTCTGCTGAGGACTGAGGAGACCCGGGGCATGGAAGACGTGTGGGATCATGGACCCAAGGCAGGAGAAACAGGCCATAAAGGATGTCTGGAGAGCTGATGGAGGTGCCTGTGGACTGTGCGTTAGGTCATAATGCCATGGCCCTGTGAAACTTCTGCCATGTTCCTGTAGAGCAGGACCAAGCCTAGAGAAAGGATGGCCTAGCCAGTCTCACACCCCCTCAACCTTTGCACCCCTAGAGGCTGTGCAGCTTTCGAGACAGGTTGGATCAGCCATCTGGGCAGGTTTCTTAACTGATTGCTAAGAGAATGCCCCTGTTTTTAGAAAGTACAAAATGAAGTATCAGGGCATAAAGGGGTGCAATGTCTCCAACTCACCCTCAGATGTTTCAGAGAGAGGTGTGTGCGGAGAGGGGAGGAAGCACCAGCAGTGAGACAGGGGCATGAGGCCTCAGGCCACCCCTGCAGCTTCTCCCTGGGGATGAGATTCTGCCCCATCAAGACCAGACCCCCAACCCAGAAGGGACCTGCAGACCGCGGAGCTCCCCTCAGGCTGCATGGGCACACTTCCCTGTTTCTCTGCTCACCCAGGCCCCTCTGTCCCGTGGTCCCCTCTGCCCAGACCCGAGGCAAGACGCCTACTGGACGTCTCCCGGCTTCGACCACTAGGGGGCAGTGCTGGCCGCTGGCGCTTCTCTCCCTCCCACTGGCTCTGACTGGAAGTTTGGGAGCCTGCCCCCAGGGAGCCCACACTGCTTCTCCCCGGGCCTCAGCCTCCCCACAGGGCTTCTGGGGGGAGCCCAGACACTCTCTTCCTGGGGAACAGAGTCATTAGGATGCCTCAAGCTTCCCCTCTGCTGCGTGGATTCTGGCCAAGATGCTGGGACTGGCACCCGAGCAAGGTGGGGGCAGGTGGACGTGGCCGCCACAGGGTGGGACCTTGGCCCCTGAATGTAGCAGTGCAGAGGCTCTTAGGTGTTTCAGGTCATTATTAGCACTGTGTCACTGTGGGGAGAGGCTGTAGAGTCATCAAAATAAGCTTCATCTTACCAGGAACTGAGCTTAAGAGCGGGGCGCTCTGCTGCAGTCCCCCACTCATCACGTACGATCACTGTGTGAAAGAACATTGACCATTCAAGATCAGGATTCCCCAGCCCCGAGCCCTGCCACGTCCTGGGCAGCGTTGGTTCCTTGGCTCAGGCCAAGGGCCGTCTTTGCTGGGCAGGTGACGGGGGTGGATGGGTGGGCAGGGTGCTGCTTTTGAAGAGATTTTTAAATTTCTAAGTGTTCTGAGGTTTGGAAAGCTTCTGTTTTCGGGATTTTACTTCAGATAACACAAGATAATCCTACAGCATATCCTTGTAGAGGGGAACCAAGCCTGGAGAATTGGCCAGGCTGGTCCCCCAACCCCAGGGCTGCACCCCTGGAGGCTGTGCGACTTCCCAAAGGGGTCATCATGTCAGCCATCTGGGGCCTGTGCAGCCCTGTGTGTGAGTTCACACTCCAGGTTTCCCACCAGTCCTGGTCCTGTGCCCTTGAGAGACCCTGCACCAATGCCTTTCTCTGATGTTCCCTTGGCCATCTCACCTCCATATGCCCCCTTCACGCCACATGCCAGGCATGTCCTGGAGGCACTGCTGTGCAGTCACCATGGCCCTAAGGCCATAGGAGGGCACAGGTGCATGCCAGCCCTGGAAAGGCACACCAGGAAACTGGGCCAGGACAGGGTGTGCTGGTCTGTTCCAGGGACACAGAGCAGGTTCCTCGTTCTGGCGCCAGTTAGCCTGGCTAGGTCAGCAGTGCAGCTTTTCATAGGTGTTAGCAATAGCCATGCCTAAGTAGGCCACCTGCTTCCCTCAGGGCCTTAGACACCACTGGCTCTTCCTGGGCCCCTGCCCGGCACAAAGGCAGCCACACACATTCTCCTTTTTCCCTTTCTCTTTTCCCCCTCTAGGTGGGACAGCATGTGCGTATAAGAGCCACACAGTTGGACCATGGGATAGCGGGAAATGGGCAGCTGGGCCAGTGGTAGAATGGAGGGCCGCATGGTGCCGCCCGGGCAAGGGGGCTCAGACCTTGAGTGTTGCCCCAGGGCTACCTCCCAGCCCACAAGATGAGACCCCAAGCAGCCACTGCTCCTTCCTTTGGCTTCCTTTGCTTTCTCTCTGCACTCTTGTCAGGGTCAGGACAGTGGGAAAGCTGGACCAGCCTGTGATGGTTGAGGGAAGTCTGAAGGACAGGTGAAGAAAGTGTCTGAGTTAGGAGTCTGGACAGATGAAGTCAGAGAGGAGGCAGGGGAAGCAACGTGCTGAGTGAGTGAGGGCAGAGGAGGCACTGGAGAGGGGCCCAGCTGCGCAGATGTCCAGGGCTAGAGAAAGAGTAACTGAGGCTGGGTTCCCGTCACAGGCCTCGCTTCGGTTCTCCACCGGCCCCCTTCCACACCAGACAGATAGCAGGCACCCAGCCTATGACAAAGGGGCCAGCAGAGGAGGTGGTGATCACATGTGTAGCCCTCATGGGTCCCGGGCCTGGGCTGCTTCCTCATTGTCTTCCCTGGAAAGACACAAAGGTGGTGGCGGTGAGGGGGTGCGGGAGCCACAGAGTAAGCAAGGGCAGGCAAGCCTTGGCCTGGGAGCTTTGAGGACCTTCATCACATACTTCCCGCCGCCTCCCCCCACCCCCAATGAGAGCGAAGGCTGCTGTGGATGCGTCATGTTGGAGGGACGTCACCCACTGGTGTGGGTTCTGGGACAGTTGGTCAGGCAGTGGCTCCCGCCGTCCGCACCCTCACTCCCACTTCCTCCTTCCCCCCCACCAACCCCAGGCTCATCTGATGGTCTCTGCCGTGTGGGTTTGTTCACAGGTTCCTGCAGACGGGGGACCTGCGGGGACAGAGGACCATGGGACACAGCCCCTGCAGGTCCTGTCTGTGCCCCGACTCCAGAGGAAGCTAAAGGAGGCTGCCAGGAAGATCCTGCGGCTGCGCCTGGAGAAGGAGCAGCTCCTGGAGCTGGGGAACCGGCTGCGAGCGGAGCTGGGGCACCTCACCGGTGGGTCGTTCCCCCCTACTCCGCCCCTGCTCTGGGGATGGAGGTGCAGGGTGCAGGGGAGGGCTGGGCGGAGGGGAGAGGCCCAGCCCAGGCTGGGGGTGGGGACAGAGGGAGAACAGACAGGACTCAGCTTGATCTTAGTGGTGGGATTCCCGTGAACCCACCCCTCTGGCAGCATTTTGTGAGAAAAATGCCACAGGTTAGCGAAGCAGCTGGCGTTTCTATGCGGCTTTGTGGTGGCAGCAAAGGCTGCCGTGTTCCCAGGCCAGCTCCCAGGCTTGGCCTCCTCAGGATAAAGGCAGCAGTGTGTGCAGCGAGGCCAAGGCCTGGACCGTGGGCTGCAGACGCCCAGGCTGCCCGTCGTGGGGGTCTTGGGTGCTGGTTCCTGAGAAAGGGACCCATGGGCCGGGCCTGAAGTCCCACGGTTAACCTACTAGAGCTGCTAGATGTTGGGCCTCTCCCAGAATCTCGGTGCACCAGCCTCCCTGCTTTTAAGCCCCTTGGTTTTCCTGCAGCTAAGGCGCCGGCCCCTTTCTTGCAGCCTCCCCCTCACCTTCTGTGGCTCCTGCCTCTGTCCTTTTCCAGCCACAGCTTTGAGTAACTATGATGATCTCCAAATCTGGGGTCTCCAGAAGCTGCTCCTTCTCCAGGGATTTCACCCTGTTGTTGATGTGAAACTAAGCCACCCCTCTCTCCACTACAGCTCACCTACTTTAGGAGCAAAGTCCCTGACTTGCATTTCCTATTGGAGGCAGAGTGCCCCAGCATGCCTGTAAAGAGCTCAGAGCAACAGGGTATCCACAAAATGTTTCTCTCGACTAACGAGAGCCCTGGCTTCCCTCCCGGGTCCTTCTCACCCCCAACCACTGCAGTGTCCAGAAAGCACTTCCCACTGAAGGGGAGGAGACGGGACAGAACATCCACACTGGTCTCTCCCCAGCACATACCTGCGTGAATGAGAATAGTTGTTTTGAATATATTACTATTTAGCCTTAATATGTTGACTCCTGAAATTACCAAGTGATGGGAAGTGGGACTCAGGAGCACAAAGGAGACAGTGGAACTGAGGGGACAGGGTGTGGAAGACCATGGCGGAGCAGATAAGTCACTTGTGTTTTCAGCAAACATCTTGCTGAGTGGCTGCTATGTGCCAGGCGCCCGGGATACAGAGATAAACCAAACCGTCCATGTAAAATGATCCCCAGTTATATTTGGAGACCGCTGTACACATCCACCTTTTGTGGGTAGGGGACCTGGGCGAGACTTAAACTCAGAGGCTTTGTCCTTCTAAGAACCCACCCCTGATAGAAGGGTGAGCAGCGCTCAGTGTATTTCTAGATGTCATCAGTGTGCAAGCAGCAACAGTGGGCATCTTTCACGGGAGCTGGCTTTTTCCCTTGGAACCCATTTGACAAAGCCCTCCTTCCATTCAGTCCTCCTTCTATTCCACAAGTTGAAGGGGAAGGTTTGGCTTTGCTTGTTCCTTAGGGGCACTTCTGGACCATCTTCTGCCAAGTTCACTAAAAACCCTGTTTTTACTTTTAAAGGCCACGCTGTGTACTCGTGCTCCCCGCCCTACACGCCTGTCATTTCATGGCCTTCAGCACTTATGGCTCCATTTCTTAATTCCACTCTGTTCCCTCCCACATCTGAACCTTGCTTCTCCTTGACCTTGGCCTCTGTGCCAAGCCCTGCCACTGCTCAGGTGCCCTCCCAGCCCCCGAGGCTTCCAGAGGGAGGCACAGCCATGCCTCCCTCCCCCTCTGACCTTTTATTCCAGTGAACCTGTCTTTCCCCTCATGGTGAATTCCTTGTCTAATCAGCTGGTCTCACAGCCAAATATGTGTCATTCACCTGTCTCTCTATCCAGCATCCACTCACTTGACACATTCACACATCTCTCAACCCATCTACCCCGCATCCATCCATCTGCCCACCTGTCCAACGAAGGAGCAGATCCTCCATTGCCGGACCTGCCCTCCTGTGCCTCCCAGTGTCAGAGAAAGCTACACATCCCTAGCAGCCAAGTTTGCAGCCTTCTCTGAAAGTTAGAGAGACCTCGGCAGTAGAGCCTTCCATGCCTGGTGTTTTCATTAGTGGTAGACTTTTAGTAATCTCTTCTGGTTTTCTTCTCCGGTGATCTGTCTGTATGGATTTTCTGCCTCTTCTTGGATCAATTCTGGACATGTGCATTTTGCTGGAAATCTCTCCAAAGTCCCTAGTCTTTCTAGTACTGCCATAGAGCAGCACATAGTGGCCTGTAACTATTTTCATCTGCATCTCTGGTTATTGCTCCTTCATTTCCTAAGACTTCTGTATGTGTAGGGATGTGGGATTCTGCTCCAACCGCCCTTTTCCCCATTCGCTGTGCACACTGGCTCAGTTCACCTTTGTATGAGGAAGGCTTCCCTAAATAATGGTAAAAAAAAGTCTAAAACCACCTAGAAGTGGGAAAGGCAAAAATAACAGAGTTGACGTCATCACATCCTAAAACATCTGTAAGGAAAAGACATCGTACACAAAGATAAGAGACAGATAACAGATGGGAAAAATATTTGCAACATACCTGACAGATAGAATCAGTACCCAGCTTGGGCATCCACTGATGGCAAGCAGAGTGCTGGATGGAGCGTCTAGGAGAAAATCCCCAGAAGTGACAGGGTGTGGATGCCACATGCCTCTGCAGGAGTCTGAAGAGGGCAAGTAAGTCAGCGTCGAGTTTACGCCCAGACTAAAAAGTCTCATGGCAAGAGCTGTCATTGGTGAAGCCTTTCAGAGGGCAGTTTGCCTGCATCTCACAACTTTTAAAATTATCATACCCTTTGAATATGCAAATCTTCCCCTAGAGATCTTTTTAAAATATTTTCTCACAAATCTGAAAAAGATGCATATGCAAGGATGTTTGGCAGTGTTTTTTGTTACGTAAGAGAGCAATTGGGAAGGTCTAGGGGTCCATCTTTGGGACATTGGAATCGGACCATGGATGGTGCTTTTACCCTCAAGGGCATGTGGGGTGGACTTCCCTGCTGGTCCCATCCCCCTGCCAATACAGTGGGCATGGATTCAATCCCTGGCCCAAGAAGACTTCACATGCCACGAGGCATCTAAGCCCCTGCCACACAAATCTTGAACCCGCACTCTGGAGCCCATGAACCACAACTTCTGAGCCCACACACCGTAACTGCTGAAGCCCATGCATCCTAGAGCCTATGCTCCACAACAAGAGAAACCACTGCAGTAAGCCTGCACATTGCAACAAGAGAAAGTCCACTCACAGCAACAAAGACCCAGCACAGCCAAAAATAAGTGAGAAAATTTTTAAAAAGAGAGCATGTAGGCTGCTTGCATGCCCACGGGTCTCCCACATCCCCATTGGGCACCATCTCTGCATGGTACTTCTCAAATGAGAGAGACAGCCCGTTTTCCCCCTTCAGCTCCAGTCCACTGGATAATTATTTTGTCAAGTACAATAAAATGTGGCCCTTCCAAATTACTTCAACCTCACTTTGTGTTGTTTCCTCACAGACTTGGACACTCTAAGGACCAGGCTCAGCCTGCTGCCCACATGATGTGTGTGCCAGCCCAGACATGTCAGACTATGAGAAGAGCGGCCTGCAGAACAGTGTGCTCTGAGGCCCAGGTGAACATACACAGCGTGTGTGCCTGCATGCACACAGAGTGCAGGCTGGAAGGAAGCACCTCCGTCCTAACACTTTGAGGAGGATAGTAGATGAGAGGAGAGGGGTGAGGGGTTTGCTCTGTGAACCTGTGCATCATGGTGGTTTGTAAGAATGCCCAGTACAGGGCTTCCCTGGTGGTCCAGTGGTTAAGAATCTGCCTTGCAATGCAGAGGACATAGGTTTGATCCCAGTCTGGGAGGATCCCACATGCCCGGGGGCAACTAAGCCCTTGTGCAACTTCTGAGCCTGTGCTTTGGAGCCACAGCTACTGAGCCCATGTGCATTAATTACTGAGCCCACGTGCTCTAGAAGCCATGTTCCACAAGAGAAGCCACCACAATGAGAAGACTGAGCATAGCAACTAAAGAGTAGCCCCCAAACTCTCCGAAACTAGAAAAAGCCCACATGAAGCAATGAAGACCCAGAGCAGCCAAATTAATTAATTTAAAAAAGAAAAAAACTATTCTAAGAATGCCCAGCACACTCCATTATTTCCCTTTTGGCCACCCTCCCCAATACCATGTGGCAGTAGGTTTCTGCTCTCCCACATAGGGAGACAGCAAAGGTTGTGACCAAGACTGGTCTGTCTGCATATTTTTTTTACAAAGCTGATTTATCCTGGTCATCAATCACATGACTGTTATCACTAAGTGGTACAGAATGACCAGCTGTGACAGAAGTATGTTATGTACCATCCAGCCAAGGCAGAGCCACGCCCACCTGGGCTCCCTCTGGTTCCAGCACCACTGGGCAGGGTCAGCCCCAGGGCTTGTCCTCACCTGTCCGCCTCTGGGAAAGAACTTCATCTCCCAGGGAGCTAGCGGAGCCGCCCCTTCACTTACCCTGGTTTCATCCTGCATCCCCCACGTCCTGGGATCAGGCTCCTGTCCCAGCCACATCCCCCCTTCTCCAGTTCAAGGCCTTCAGATCTGCATTTACAGACAGGCAGGCTCATGTGGTTCGGACCTGCACTTTCAGACAGGCAGACTCGTATGATTGGGTATGTAGCCCTGACTCAGAATTTCACTCTCCTACCTAATCTCTAAGTGAGTGGGTAGGTGGCAATGCTGGGGCGTCACCTGTCCTCAGGTGCCCCAGCCCCATTTGCACTCCCATCAGCCCAGCTGCAAGTGCTCACCCCTCACCTCTGAGACAGAGGCCATCACACCATCTGCTGGGGGTAAGGCCAAGACCACGAAAGATGCCAGTATAGCCTGAGCCGGCCTGCACAATGGAAGATCAGAAAAGGACAGGCCATGAGGCCAGACCGAGTGTACTTCAACTCGGCCCACCTCTCCCCTACTTTGTTCTTCCTCTTGC